GACGACACCAGTTCTGTATAGGTTCGCTTTCTTCTTTCGCTTTCTGCATACTGCTCTTGTCAGGCTAAAGCCATTTTAACATTCTGTTCTTGCAGTCTGGTCATGGTTGCAGATTCAGTCATGTCTTGATTCTTGCAAACCTCTTACTTCTCGTAGAGCGTTTAATATATCAGCCTGGCCAATGGCTCGTCCGTCCTTCACAGTAGCCTTACCAGCAAACCCGTCAGCTTGCTTATTTCCTTGCACCCCCGCGTGCACTAGCACGCAATTGCAATTTATGATTTGTCTTGTTTGAAAGCATTAAGCACAGAGACGGCACAAATACCAGGACTTTAGCCTCGGAAGTGGCGCAAATAAACAAGACCACAAATATAGCTGGAGACTATTGGCTGCTTCTGCTAGCTAACAACAGGTTGAAAGTGGTTGAGTTTTTTTTATTTTTTCTCGAAAGGAATTGGATTCGTCTTGTGTTAAATTATCGCCCTATGTGAAATATAACTACACCTATGATGGCGCTTATGATGATGTTATGTTATCACCAGTAACATCAGCGCTAACTGGGGCATTCCCATATGTGCTCAAGCCTCCGATGTAGCAGTCATCCATAGGTATCTCTAATGACTTTTCCCAATGCATTTCGGTGCTTCGCTAGCATCTACTTGCAGGATACCTACTGGGTTTAGCGTCAAGGATCTCTCTTTTCTCACAAGTGTGGTCAAGTTGCTTTCAACTTGGGCACTTGACCCCTGCCCCCCCCCCCCGAATCCCGTGGGGATGGGGCAGTACAATGAAGTTTCAAGGGGGCATCAAGCACTTTTCAGAAACTGAGTTTATGCGATGTTTCAGGAAAATTCTTGGCACATTATACAGAGACCGCATTAAAAACGAAGAAGTTCGCCATAAAATTTAACAGCACATTGGCAACTATGAACCTCTTTTAACTACAGTGAATTTGCGAAAAATACAATGGTATGGACATGTAGTAAGATCTAATGGCCTCCCAAAAACAATACTACAGGGATCAGTAAAGAGGAGAAGAGGCAGACCAGGAAAGACCTGGTACAGAACCTGACTGACTGGACAGGCCTCAGGCATGCAACCATGAAGTCCATCGCAACTGACCGACAAAAGGTGGAGAGAGCAACAGAAGCTAGTGAACCAACGACACGTAGTGTTACGGGGTGATGGTGATGAGTTTATGTGTACATACAACAACCTGTTCGACTAACACTTTTGATAACAGATACACTCAATCAGCTTGAAGACAGCAGATACCTAGTTCAAAAGACGACGTTTGTCAGGACCTATGATAAGCCAGAGTATTACTGAGATTGTGTGTGTGTGTGTGTGTGTGTGTGTGTGTGTGTGTAAGAGAGAGAGGGCAGAGAGAGAAAGAGAGGAAGAGGTGAGAGAAACACACACACACACACACACAGAGCAATTGGTGCTTTATAATATCCTACCGCCCCCCCTCCCCCCCCCCAGATGACGTCACGGGACAGTCCAAGATTTTAGAGGGTGGTAAGATTGTTTCCCAGCTTTCTGATGCTTTTAACGACCCCAAAATATATAGAACTATCCCTAACCCCAACCCACCTTCGTCCCACGAGAGAGTGCAGCCTAGCTCCCACAACTGCATGCAGCCTATCTACCACCCCCTGAAATATTAGACTGTCCCGTGACCTGTGGATTTTCCCTGTTTGGGGTAAGATATTATTAAACCACCGAGCAACGAAGTATTGTTTATTTGTGTTGTCTGTAGATGTTCTCATGTGTGTTCTGGTGGAAATGTGTCATTTCAGCGATCAAATTGGACGGTTGCGATGTTCGTGGCTACGCTGCCTGGTCATTGATGGACAACCTAGAGTGGAATTTAGGGTTCGATGCTAAATTCGGCCTTTATTACGTCAACTTCAGCGACCCTGAATTGCCCAGGATCCCTAAGGCATCAGCCGTCTGGTACAAATCATTCATTGCGGACAATGGGTAGGCCTTTTATTCTCTCTGGATACACTGTAAGCCACTTGAAGGGGTGACATTTTTCCCAAATGTATCACTTTATTTATTAGCTTCTGTGGCATAGGCGTTGCGAACGCGTGTCGTAATGCCGAGGTAGTGGGTTCAATCCCAGTTGCAGACGATTTGTCTTGCTTTGGTTTGGACAATGGTAGCGAGAACTGGCCGTTTAGTAAGCAGTGGCAAACTACTGAATGTAAAATGTGCCTAGAAAAAGGACAAAAGCCTAAAAAAATATGCTGAGGTTGGTTCTGCAACGTCTTGTAAAGGGTTAACCACAAAGAAAAATTGTGAAACCATCTTATAATTTGATGCCCAGAATGTCTGAGAATTCACGTCTCATTGGCTATAGGACGACCATTGTCTCTTTAGTTGAGACTACAAGTGCGGGAATAAATAAAATATTATAAATAAATTAATCTCTAAAGTTAATGTTTATCATCCATGTGACCATATTTCTGATCCATAAATTACCTCTAAAATCCATGAGGCAAATCATACATTATTGATCCATGAATTAACATTTACTATCGATAAGACAAATCCTCTATTATTGATTTAAAAATTAACATTTACAGTCGATGAGACAAATCTTATATTATTAACCCATAAATTAACATTTACAAAGCATAAGACAAATCGTCGTCTAAAATAATCCCCCCCCCCCCACCCCCCATCCACCCCCCCCCCCCCAAGGAAAAAAAAATGTACCCCAACATTCATGAGACAAATCATCGTCTGTTATGTATATGTTAAAATATTAACCTTTGCAACCCACGAGACAAATCCTATTCTCTAACATATCTAAACACTCAATTAAATACTAAAACCTATTTATAAAACAAATCGTCTTCCTGGGTTTTAATAATACAAACTATTTTCTAAACACTGTTTCTGTGAACAAAAGTAAATCCTACAACCTGCACTGTAATACAAATTATACGTACGACTTGATTATAAATAAGAATTGGAGTAGCTGCTGCCGCGCCTCTGCGCGACGATCTACTTTATCATAAGGCGGACGTGGTGAAGGTTCTCTTGACTCTAATGAAAAGTCCAATAGAACGTAAATGCAGAGAATCCATGCATTGGAAGATTTATTTACAGGGGATGAGAAAAGAATTTCTAGAAAATATGAGACACCGAGGGAGAAACATATGGGGACTTTTGGTTAGGTTGTATCTGGTACTGTCAGTATGTTGAATCCTGGCTGGCTACCGAAGGCAGGGACGGCGCACGTGTGGGAAAGTCCCTAGTGGGGTGATGTCAGTTCATTCATTGACTCGCTCGCTAGCTCTCTCACTTGCTCAATCACTCGCTCACTCACTCACTCACTCACTTACTCACTCACTCACTCACTCACTCACTCACTCACTCACTCACTCACTCACTCACTCACTCACTCACTCACTCACTCACTCACTCATTCACTTATTAATTCACTTACTCACCCATTAATTCATTAATTCATCCATCCATTAATTAAATAATTTATTTATTTATTCATTCATTCATTCATTCATTCATTCATTCATTCATTCATTCATTCATTCATTCATTCATTCATTCATTCATTCATTCATTCATTCATTCATTCATTCATGCATTCGTTCATTCATTTATTCATAAAGCAATGACAACCAGTCTATGAACTAAGCTTAGTTTCCTTGTAAAGCTTCCTGATATTTTCATATTAATATTTTATTTTATCTGTTATTATCAATTTTAGATCATCAGCAATTTTATTCCCACTACTCTTTTACTTCTCATCATCATCATGTAGCAGGTCCTTTGCAGAACGTCGCTCTCATCACAGTCTGCCTGTAAGAAACTCGGTATGATCTGCCTGGCCTGGGAGCCTCACCATCAGATCTTTGAGTTTCATTTTTGGCTTCCATGATGGGTTTCTTGGGATAGTAATGTGGTTGTTTCCCATTGCTTTCCACATCCACATGGCTTTAGACCATGTCCTCAGCCTTCAGCAACCTTTTCTATTGCTAGGGCAAGTGAGTGCCCTGCTCTGTGATGCTCCTGCTAAGAGCAGAGGGCAACCCAGAGGTGTCCACTTATCCCGGGGGATACTCGGTTCCCATAGCTGCGTTGGCCACACTGCAGTGTGTTTACCATCCTCTACCGCGAGGAGGTGCAGTTGCGGTTTTCCCTTCACTGAGTCTTGAGACCAGAATGGCATTTCCCAAAACTCTCCAGTACTTTCTTTTACTTCTACTGCTATTATATTTGCTTCTTCTTCTTCTTCGCGTTCATCGGCTGTAAACTCCGACGGAAGGTTTTGGTTGCTCGGTTATCTCTCTGTCTTGTTCCAGAACCTAGGTGTAGAATGCACATCCGTTTTACAGATCTGTCTTACTTGTATACAGATTGTTGGTTCTTTGCCTCTCAGGCAGATGCACTCCGACCTCGAAGAAAGCACCCAATTAGTCGACTCTTACTACATGCTTGCTAGTGAGGCAGGGGTTTATTTTTGTTTCCCCCATACAGGGATGCTATTAAATATTATCATTATTACTTTTATGACTTTTTTCGAGCCTTCATTTATCTTACTATATTTTGCTAATTCTACGTCACTTTTATCTCTTTATATTTTTTAAATATAATTATTCGCGTGACTCCCTGTTGGGTACCAGTGGTTTGAGTGCTTCCCCTGTGTAATTGTTGTGTGGTTCATGTTGAGAAACCTGTTGAAACGTTGATTTGTCTTGTTTTGGGTACATTGTTCCCTTTTCCTCTTTCGTTAAGCTTTTCAGTCACGGTTCATTGGAATAATAACTGACACTGTGCTTGCAGATTTAAACCCGGCTACACACAGAAGGGAGGCTGGGGCACTGCAGTCCAGATGACTGATCAGTTCCTCTATGGCAAGTTCCCTGAAGGTTTTAGTTGGGGCCTGGCCACCGCTGCCTACCAGGTGGAGGGCGCCTGGAATGAGGACGGTAACATATTTGTGTGTTTTTTTTTTTTTTAAATGTCTGTCTGCCTCTCTGTCTGTATATGCCTGTCTGTCTTTTCTCTTCTGTCTGATCTGCAAAAACGTGTGTTGTTGCCGGTATTTTACACCTTTGTGGTTTATGTGGAGGAGGACTTAGGGCCGCACGGCTAGTGCTGTCGTCATAGACTGTATAGGTTAGGGTGTGTGTGTGTATGTGTGTGTGTGTGTGTGTGTGTGTGTGTGTGTGTGTGTGTCAGACATTAAAAAAAGAAATCCTCAATCTTACCAAGGATTCGAACTCGGGTTTCCTGCATGAGAGCCAGACGTTCTTAACTATTCAACCAGCCGGTGGAGTCCTAAAGCTAACTCCCAGATTTTTCGTCTCCTGTATTTCAGTCTGTGGCTTAGATGTTGCGAGCACGTTTCGTAATTCTGAAGTGTCGGGTTCAATCCCAGCTACGGGCGTTTTGGCAGACCGCCTTTCGTTAGTGTAGACGGGGATCGTGAGTTAACCGTGTAGTGAGCAATGGCAAACTATTGAGTGTAAAACAGCCAAGTGAACTCACAGACAGCTACACTATGCAGGGGTTGCTTCTGCAACATCCTGTAGAGAATATGCAACTAACTTTTCTATATATATCATCAAAAGATGTTGTCAGCGCTTTAATACAGCACAGCATCTACTATCACATGCCCTTTGTCCGTCTGTCTGTCCGTCCGTCTGTCCGTCCGTCTGTCTTGTCTGTCTCTCTGTCTGCCTGACCACCAATACTTATGTACGTCTGGCCTGTTCTGTAGTTTGATAATTTCTACCATCGGCTTTTGTTGTGACCTTTTTTTTTTTTTTTATTCTACGTTGGTGACACAGGCAAAGGTCCAAGTATCTGGGACAACTTTACCCACATCCCAGGTCACATCGAGAACAACGAAACCGGAGATGTTGCCTGCGACAGCTACCACAAGTTGGATGAGGACATTCAGCTCATCCAGGACACGGGGGTGAGTTGATTCAGGATACGGGGGTGAGTTGATTCAGGACACGGGGGTGAGTTGATTCAGGACACGGGGGTGAGTTGATTCAGGACACGGGTGTGAGTTGATTCAGGACACGGGGGTGAGTTGATTCATGACACGGGGGTGAGTTGATTCATGACACGGGGGTGAGTTGATTCAGGACACGGGGGTGAGTTGATTCATGACACGGGGGTGAGTTGATTCAGGACACGAGGGTGAGTTGATTCATGACACGGGGGTGAGTTGATTCAGGACACGGGGGTGAGTTGATTCATGACACGGGGGTGAGTTGATTCAGGACACGGGGGTGAGTTGATTCATGACACGGGGGTGAGTTGATTCATGACACGGGGGTGAGTTGATTCATGACACGGGGGTGAGTTGATTCATGACACGGGGGTGAGTTGATTCATGACACGGGGGTGAGTTGATTATGGACATGGGGGTGAGTTGATTCATGACACGGGGGTGAGTTGATTCATGACACGGGGGTGAGTTGATTCAGGACACGGGGGTGAGTTGATTCATGACACGGGGGTGAGTTGATTCAGGACACGGGGGTGAGTTGATTCAGGACACGGGGGTGAGTTAATTCAGGACACGGGGGTGAGTTGATTCAGGACACGGGGGTGAGTTGATTTAGGACACTTGGTAGAAAACGTCTAAAACCCTTTTCGACGCTTTGCGCGTATTGCTATAGGACTGGACCTTATAGACCAGTCAGCACTGGGTGATCACGCTGGTCGATTTTACTGTTGCCCATTCAAGGCTGGATCGACCTTGACATTTCTGACACCAACAACAAAATGTCCGGCTCCGTGAGGATCTGAACCTATGATCTTCGGATCCGCAAGCGAGCATCTAGCCGCTACACCACAGCCGCTTCTAAACATCAAGCAAATGCTACTAAATTTAATTCGTTTACTACTCCTTCTCTCTCTCTCTCTCTCTCTCTCTCTCTCTCTCTCTCTCTCTCTCACTCGCTTTCTCTCGCGCTCTCTCTCGCTCTATCTCTCGCTATCTCTCTCGCTCTCTTAAACGCCTTTTTTTTCTCGCTCTCTCTCTCTCTCGCTCTGTCTCTCGCTATCTCTCTCGCTTTCTCAAACGCTCTCTTTCTATCGCTCTCTTTCTCTCGCTCTCTCACTCTCTATTTCTCGCTTTCTCTTGCTCTCTCTCTCTCTCGCTTTCTCTCTCGCACTCTCTCTCTCTCTCTCAAACGCGTGCTCTCTCTCTCTCTCTCTGTCTCTCTCTCTCTCCCCTACCTATTGTTAGCTCTCGTTAAATGTATCTATTTTGCTTTGATCTCCCTGTTCAGATGACCCACTACCGGTTCTCCATCGCCTGGACGAGAGTCTTACCTAACGGAACGTTGCCCTCAAACAAGGCCGGTATTGACTACTACAACAGGCTTCTGGACAAACTCATCGAAATAGGTACAGTTTCTGTAAGACTCATCACCATGTGTGCTGTATGTTTCAGTCATTTTTGTATTTGTTCATGATCACATCACTGCTTTAATTGGCGACTAAAAAATGCCATGCAAATAACGTTTTCCGCCGCAAACCAACACTTCTCGTCGAGTTGACATTTCATTCATGCTTGGTGACCTGTCCCGGACGCTGGTCTATGTTACAGGGGTATAACGTTGCGCTGTGTTCCATGCTCCTAACCTTCTAAATTGAGAGTAGTGAACGGCCAGCAACGTGTCGTATTTTACCCCTTTTGTCAGCGTCCGGAAATATTGCGTATTCTATATTTCACGGTCACATCGTGGAAAATAGAACAAGTGATTTCGCCTGCCGCTGACAACGAGTAAAATACGACCTGTTCCTGGTCGCTCATTACGCAATATAAAAGAATGAGAGCATCGAAGACAACACAATGTGATACCCCTGTAACATCGGCCTGCGCGTTGGAAATGTCACCAAGCATAAATGAAATGTCATTCTTGTGTTTTTCTGCATTGTATGACACGCATGGAAATGTGTTTTCCAAACAGTGGTAGTCACATAGAGCATATTATATACACACAAATTGTGTTCAGCTTATTTTTCCTACGTATAGTCACTTTGTGATGTTTGTGATGTTATTTTATATACGAATAATGAGATTACCCTGGACGTAATAGAATAAAATGTAAAAAGAGTAATTATATGTCTTGATAAAAACTGGTTCACGAAGAGAACTGATCGTCCACATCAGGGGGAGACACTCTACTTACTTTGGTCATGTGATGAGAAGGGGAAAACTGGAGTACGTCGTGACGGTAGGAAAGCTGGACTAGGGAAGTTGGAAGGGAGGAGAGGCAGGGGGAGACCGAGAGAACAGATGCTGGACAGTCTGACATCATGGCATGGAGGATCATCTGTGTCAGAGTTGACTGAAAGTACACGACACAGAAGGCTGTGCATAGACGTGAATACCAACGCCACACGGCCTTGACTTTCAAAAGAGGATGGGCACTTATAGGCACACTATCGAGTTGACCTTATTGAGAGCCATTGGGGAGGGAGGGGGTGAAAAATATCTTGTGTGTGAAAGACGGGTGTTTGGAAGGGACGAATGTGAGACGGGCCTGCGTGCCCAATTTGTGACCCCTTGAAAATAAAGTTCGTTCCTTTGTTCGTTCGTCTCCCATCGCCTCTTTTCCCCTCTTACACGTTGTTTGTTTATTGAGAGACCAGCCACAGCAGTGGCCTGGTTTTTTATGTCCTATTATGTGAGAGTCAATCATCCTCAGGTGTGAAGCCAATGGTGACCATCTACCACTGGGATCTGCCCCAAGGTCTTCAGGATCTGGGCGGATGGTACAACCCCGCCATTGTCCAGTGGTACCGGGATTTCGCCGAGCTCTGCTTCAGGGAATTTGGCAGTAAGGTAACGTACCCTACTTACTGGTGTAAAAACCGTACTTACTAGTGTAAAAACCGTACTTACTGGTGTAAATACCGTACTTACTAGTGTAAATACCGTACTTACCGGTGTAAATAGGTATCTACTGGCGTGAATACCGGGTGCTTTGTTAATGTTCTACCCCAAACAGGGGAAATTCACAGATCAGGGAACAGTCTAATATTTTAGGGGGTTGTAGATAGGCTGTGTGCAGTCATGGGACCTAGGCTGCATGCAGTCGTAGGACTTAGGCTACACTCTCGTGGGACGTAAGTGGGTTGGGGTTAGGGCCAGTTCTAGATGTTTTGGGGTCGTTAAAAGCATCAGAAAGCCGGGAAACCAAGTCTTACCACTCTCTAAAATGTTGGACTGTCCTGTGACGTCATCTGGGGGCAGGATATTATTAAAGAACCGAATTCCGTACTTACTTATGTAAATACCGTATATACTGGTGTAAATACCGTAATTACGGGTGTAAAAACCGTACTTACCTGTGTAAATACCGTACTTACTAATTTGAACACCGTACCTATTTTTGTAACTACCGTTGTGTTTCAGTCATAATAGCGACAATCATGTGTATCCTGCGCCCATGGGTTCCACTCCACGGTGTAAGGTTTGGGTGCTGAATAGTGTCAGTCAATTTCGTTCTGTATCCACAAATCATACACACTCACAGCTCATACACACTCACAGCTCCTACACACTCACAGCTCATACACACTCACAGCTCATACACACTCACAGCTCATACACACTCACAGCTCATACACACTCACAGCTCATACACACTCACAGCTCATACACACTCACAGCTCATACACACTCACAGCTCATACACACTCACAGCTCATACACACTCACAGCTCATACACACTCACAGCTCATACACACTCACAGCTCATACACACTCACAGCTCATACACACTCACAGCTCATACACACTCACAGCTCATACACATTCACAGCTCCTACACATTCACAGCTCATTCACACTCACAGCTCCTACACACTTACAGCTCCTACACACTCACAGCTCATACACACTCACAGCTCCTACACATTCATAGCTCATACACATTCACAGCTCATACAAATTCACAGCTCATACACACTCACAGCTCATACACACTCACAGCTCATACACATTCACAGCTCATACACACTCACAGCTCATACACACTCACAGCTCATACACACTCACAGCTCCGATACACTCACAGCTCCGACACATTCACAGCTCATACACACTCACAGCTCATACACACTCACAGCTCCGACACACTCACAGCTCATACACACTCACAACTCATACACATTCACAGCTCATTCACTTCTCATAATAAAGTCATACAAATTCACAGCTCATACACACTCACAGCTCATACACACTCACAGCTCATACACATTCACAGCTCATACACACTCACAGCTCATACACACTCACAGCTCCGATACACTCACAGCTCCGACACATTCACAGCTCATACACACTCACAGCGCATACACACTCACAGCTCCGACACACTCACAGCTCATACACACTCACAACTCATACACATTCACAGCTCATACAAATTCACAGCTCATACACACTCACAGCTGATACACACTCACAGCTCATACAGACTCACAGCTCATACACACTCACAGCTCCGATACACTCACAGCTCCGACACATTCACAGCTCATACACACTCACAGCTCATACACACTCACAGCTCCGACACACTCACAGCTCATACACACCTTCAACTTCTGCATCCTGCAGTTCTAACACACAGGCAGCTCTGACACACTCACAGCTCTAACACACTAACAGCTCCGACACACAGCTCTGATACACTCACAGCTCTGACACGCTCACAGCTCCGACACATTCACAGCTCCGACAAATTCACATCTCTAATGCACTCACAGCTCCGATACACTCACAGTTCTGATATACTCACAGCTCCTACACTCATAGTGCCGAAGACACTCACAGCTCTGGCACGCTCACAGCTCCGACACATTCACAGCTCCGACATACTCACAGCTCCGACACATTCACAGCTCTAACACCTCAGCCCCTACACACTCACAGCTCCTTGACACTGACAGCTCTGACACCTCAGCTCCTACACACTCACAGCTCTGTGACACTGACAGTTCTAAAACCTCAGCTCCTACACACTCACAGCTCCGAGACACTCACAGCTCCGACGCCCAAGTTCCTACACATCTTGCTGTCGGTCACTTACTAAATCCGGTTTTCGCCTGGAACAACAGGTCAGCAAATGGATCACATTCAATGAGCCATGGGTGACCAGTGTCCTGGGGCATGGGGTAGGACAAGATGCTCCAGGCTTGAAGGACATCAAGGACGGTCCTTACCGTGTGGCCCACAACATCCTTCTGGCACATGCTGAGACCTACCACCTGTATCAGGAGAAGTTCAAGGCTTCTCAAAAGGGTGAGTGCACTGCTCGATTTCTCATAGCAGTTAGTTTACAGGGCTTCTCATAGTAGTTTGTTTACAAGACTTAAAAACGTCATTAGTTTAGTTTACAAGACTTCTCCACGAAATTAGTTTAGTTTGCAGAACTTGACCACGTAATTAGTTTAGTTTACAAGACTTTATCACGATTTTAGTTTAGTTTGCAAGACTTCTTAAAGTTGTTAGTTTACAAGGAATATGTGTACATTCAAGTGGACTTAGGTAATACATATTTTCACATAACAGGCCAAGTTGGAATAACATTGAACTGTGACTGGTACGACCCCGAAGACCCATCCAAACAAAGCGACATTGAGGCTGCAGACAGAGCGATACAGTTCTTCATTGGCTGGTTCGCACATCCAATCTTCGTCAACGGCGACTATCCAGAAGTCATGAAAGAGTTCGTGGCTAATGCCAGTGCTAGCGAGGGTCTGGCTACATCCAGGCTGCCAGGGTTCACACCCCAGGAGAAACAGCGCATCAACGGTAAAGTGTTGTCGAATGTGTCTTGTGTCTATTCTAAACTAGAGTTTACAACCCAGGAGAAACAGCACAATGATAGTAAAGTGTTGTCGAATGTGTCTTGTGCCTGTTCTAAGGGTCGGCTCTGTGGCTAAGTCGATGCGAGCGCTTCGTAATGCCAGGGTGCCGGGTTCGATCCCAGCTGCGGGCCATGCGCCTCGCGTTGGTTTCGATAGTGGTATCAGGAGGCCGAACGTCCAGAAAGCAACGGCAAACTACTGGACGTAAATTTGCCTAGAGAAACTACACAACTACCGGGGGCTGCTGGGGTTTGTTCTGCAACGTCCTGTCAAGGATACGCAACTAACCAACCTGTTCTAAGCCCGAGTTCACACCCCAAGAGAAAGCGCATTATTAATAAAGTGTTGTATTATTTGTCTCTGTTTTAAACCAGGGTTCAAACTCCCAGAGAATCCACATTAATGGCTATTAAAGTGTTGTATGTTTTCGAGAGCGGCAGTGGCGCAGTGGCTAGCTACTTTTCTGCTGACAAAGTCTTGACTTCAAATCCACAGGGGTGACATTACAACTGACTTCGAGTACCCAGGTCAACTAAACTCAAATTATGTACCTTGAAGACTATACACGAGCCTGTGTACCTACCGATTCCTTGAGCATGATCCGGAAGATCGACGCAGGTTATGTGCCAAAGCAATGGGTTGAGCCATTATAGAAATCCACTGTGCATAAAGTCGTCTTTATCTTCCTTCCGGGGCATGCGGGCGTCGATGGAAAAGAAAGAGCTAAATTGGCCGGATCCGCAATCACTGCTAAAGGTCAACCCATGGATCATGCTGAAATTTGTAATGCTATCAGAGAAATGAGAAGAGAGGGGGACTTTTGAGACAGCGATTCCACATCACTCACCAGAATTAAAGTCTGGAGCATAAGGAACGGCATAGCCGAAAGCGAGAGGCATACCACGTATACAAAAAGACATCAATCAACAAAGAACTGGCACTGTTAGTCACAGGACGCTGAGGTTCATATTAAAGGAAGGATCTGAGCACCTAAGGACATGTCCGGAGAATAATGATCATAACTAACTAACTAACTAACTAACTAACTAACTAACTAACTAACTGACTAACTAACCAGCTATGTACCTGAAAAGTCAAAAGAATTAAAGGTGCCCGGTGTTGATGGCATCACCACCAATTTTTTTTTTATTTCAAATAGCACCATATGCCGGGCAAAAAGTACTTTAATTTTTAATTTTTGCTCTGTTTGTTTGTTCTCAGCATCTCCTGCAGTGATGAAAAACGTTTAGATTATGCTTACCGCATCCGTCTTTGTTCTAAGATAAGTTCGCCATCTGACCATCTGTCATGTCACTTCGCTAACCCGCTCTGTATTTTCACCCTCTGTCGGTGTGTGTCTCCAACACTCTTACACTCTCCAGTTGTTGAAACTTTCTCACATATCCTAACATAATTAGTTTGCAAGGCTTCTTGGAGCAGATAGTTTCGGAGACTTCTCAAAATAGTTAGTCTACAAGGCTTCTCAAAGTGGCCAATTACTGAGGCTTCTCGGAATAGTTAGTTTACAAGGCTTCTCAAAGTGACCAATTACGGAGGCTTTTTAGAATAGTTAGTTTACAAGGCTTTTCAAAAGATGTAGTTTACAAGGCTTATTAGAGCTGTGTATTTACAAAGCTTCTGAAAGAATAAATTGTCATCCAGGTTCTTGTAAAGAAATTACTTCGTAAACTGTCTGCTTGGAGTAATCCAATTTTGGTCATCTTATCGTGTGTGCTGTTTATAAGGTAGACTTTATCCACGTCAGTAAGCGGTCTTGAAATAACTCTTTGTCATGCGAGCGGGTCTGGACAGATCGAAAAGTGCCTACAACCAAATATTAATATTGACCCCAAAAAATTGCCTTATTCTTTACTTACTTTTGTGGGGACATTGTGGTGTAGTGGCTAGGCACTCGCATGCAGATCCAAATGTCGTGGATTCGAATCCGAACGGAGCAGGCCTTTTTTCAAAATTGACCTTGCCTTCAAGGTCTATTCAGTCTTAAATAGATACCACGTGTGGTTCTAGGAAGTAAATGTGGCCGGTATTATGTTCACAACATCACCAACCGAGTATCGATTTGACTTTATTAATAGAGGTCTAGCCCTATGTGCCTAGTAAGTCTGAAAGGGTCCTTTACCTTATTTTACTTACCTGTGTATGATCCAAACTGCTGTATAATCCTCTATCCAGGCACAGCGGACTTCCTGGGTCTCAACCACTACACCAGTAATGTCGCATATGAAGGGCCCAGTGGCGAGGGTTATTATGGCGATCAGCGAGTGGTCACATACAAGAACCCAGACTGGCTCACGTAAGTTCTACGTTCAGGTTTTCTCCTGTATTGTCTACTAGACTCCTACACAAATGAAATATCTCTTGACGTGCTTACTATATAGTTAGTTGGTTGCGTATCCTTTACATGACGTTGCAGAACCAACCCCAGCATTTTTGTTGCAGTTGTGGTTTTTCTGGGCAAGTTTACCTCCAGTAGTTTGCCACTGCTTTCTGCACAATCGGCTTCTCCATACCACCATCGAAACCAACGGAAGGCGCAAGGCCTGCAGTTGGGATCAAACCCGGCACCCCGGTAATACGAAGTTTGTTCGCAACTCCAAAGAGGTATAGAAATAAATGGATTGAGAAAGCGTTGACGCCAAACAGAAACCATAAAAACGAACGTGGTTAATGAGAGAGGCCAAAGGTGCTAAACTAGATTCTATCCATGGTATGAAGGGGGATGTACCGGATAAAACGTAATGCTAGAATAAGACTCAGTCCTATCTGACATATAATGGTATAAAATAGTCGTTTATGAACTTGATATATTTTCATTTCTTTAAAATCATTTACGATGGGATTTTGATATTACACAATCTCTACCACTTTGGAGGAGCTGCAGACCCGGGGGAGAAGAACGCTGGCTTGTTTGATGTTTGCTTTTTCCCTTTTATCTGCTGTCGCCCTAAATAAATCCGCTTTCCTACATTTTCCTATTTTATACTTAAATATTGTAAATCCTTCTTTTCTCTGATTTTATTTACTATTTAAAAAAATGATTGGCCTGACTTTTATCTTTGTGCCGTGTCATGCGGGGGATCGAGGCAACAAGCATACTGATTATCTTAGAGGCCCTGCTGTTGCGATGGCTGATCCGATATTGGACAGAAGTGTTGTTATCAATGCCATGCGCAGCACTTACTGCGATGAAGAATACGTCAAGGGGCATGACTCCGTATCCTTGTCCATGCTGATGAGCATAGGGATGCAATCCGGAGCTGCACGAAATTAACATTTTCACAAGGGGACAAGACGTCTGATTATTCAACATAAAACAGGCACTACCAGTCTTGTGCTTGTGAAACAACTTCCGGTCAAAGTGGAAGATTAGGCATGGCAGAATGATGAGCGTTTTTTTTCCCCGACAGGGCTTTGCTAATGCACTTTCCTCATACGGGTGGTTGTCTACGGTTTCCCTGCTTGATCTGCTGAGTTTAGTGCTTGGTGCAGCCCTGTGAGCTGTGTTTTTCATGTGAAATGTCTTTTATTTGTGCAGCGGTTGTGTCATAATTTTCAATATGGCAGGTATTTGATTTACGTGTGAGCAGGTAAAATACCTTATGTGGTCGTTCTACATGTGTATAGCCAACTTATCGTGCATGATAACTTATCTCAACGACAAACTGCGTTTCTAGTGGCAACTGTTGGCTTTGGCACCTCTAGCAACTGCCGTATGCATTTATTGCATGCCCAATTTTTTTTATTGTGTCGGGGCTAATTGTTTGTTTATCAGTCTTTCAAATGCGACAGTGAGGGACATTTCGTCTAATTTTCACTGGCACAGGATTGGAGCAAGTATGTGGACACCTGAGTGCAGTGAAGCTGAAACCTCGACGGGGCCGCGCTAGCTCAGTCGATAAGAGGCTCGCTTTCAAATCCAGCTGCGACTCCCTGCAGCCCACGGTCGGTGCTCGAAACCGGGCGGCTCCCGGGGTTCACCCAGCCTCTAGGAAATGGGCACCTGAGTTGACACTCTGGGGTAAATGGAGGAGCGTCGCTACAGAGTTACGTGCGAACGGCGACACACGCGGACAATTCTTATCAGCTGCCCAAATTAGTAGCAGAGCACTTATGGTTTATAACGGTGTGCAATGACGCTGGTTCACATCTCCCGACTTTACCTTTTTTTTTTTACCTCGACTAAGATTAAGACTATGCTGGGGAAGCTTTTGATCTTTTGAGGAGGAGATTGAAGCGCCTATGGATCTGTCTGGATTGCCGTGACGATAATCCTCTTACTAATCCCTCACGACTGGTAGGATCGCGCGTGAGTGTCTGGCACTTGTGGGGCTAGAGCTCTAGTCGTCACGAACTATGTAGATTTGTCCAGGACGCGTTGAAAACCAAAATATTTCATTCATTTGCAGGACTGGCTCTAGCTGGCTCAGAGTTAACCCTATCGGTATTCGCAAGAACTTGAACTTTGTCCGCAACCATTACGGTGATATCCCAATATACATCACTGAAAATGGCGTCTCTGACCGGAACTCCTCATTGGACGATCCCTACCGGATCAATTACTACCAGGATTACATCAACAATGTCTTGAAAGGTCAGTAGGTCATGTCCCACATTAAGAATGAATAAATGAATCATTCAGTAGAGTGCAGCCCGCTTAATGCGATCTTGGATGTGGCGAATTTCTGTTCCAAAGAACAATTTGTTTACCCCTAGTTATTTTTCTTGCTTGAATTTTTATCTGGATACGAGGAATTTCTTAAAAGACGAACCATTCTTTTCCTTTCTTGTATCCCATCTCAGACCCTCCGAAATTTCGTGGAGAATTTCAGGGAATTTCCACACCAACATCACCTAGTTATAGCACCTATGCTCTGTTCTACTTTAAATACATATAGTTCGGGGGGGGGGGCGGGGTGGTCTCGAGGTATGGTGTCCGCTTTGAGTGCTGAAAGTCCCAGGTTCAAGTCCCGGTGAAGGCTAGGATTTTTTCACGTGGATTTCTAGTAATTTTCATTTATCTCTGGGTAGTAAGATCAGACGCCCCTGTGTATTTTAGCGCACGTAAATAAATTCCTCGGCAATTGGAAATCAAAATGAATAGCCTAACGGCGCTGCCCGGTTAAAATTTTTAGTTAAAAATCTACTGAAAGTACTTCAGGATCCTCGCCCGTGCAACGGAGTTCATGCACTGCACTGAGATCTATCTAACTACTTTTTACCCCACCAGGACATCACACAAGCGATAAACACCTGATGAAACAAAGTGTCACCGTGGGTATGAGGATCACCGTGGAAAGGTCCCAGAAACCGCGTTCAGCCATTAGGCCATATTTATGGCCGGGCTATATTGCGGCCCCTGGCAAGAACCAGAGTAGGACTTCAAATAACGACATATTGCATCCCACAAGGAAATGACGAAATATACATAGCACTGAGATTCTTCAGACTCACACTTGATTTAGACTGACTGACTGACTGACTGACTTTCTAACCCACTAGGACATCACACAAACGATAAACACCCGATGACACAATGTGCCACTATGTGGATGAGAATCACCGTGGAGAGGTCCCAGAAACCGCGTTCAGCCATATTTATGGCCTGACTATATTGCGGCCCCCGGCAAGAGCCAGGGTGGGGCTTCAAATAACGAAAATTGTCATCATAAAAAGGACGGTGAATATTAGGTACCTAATTTTAAAAGTACAACAAAGTACTTATGGGTTACACCCGTGTGCTATAATGTTGATCGGTGAAATAAACATAGACATAAACAGTTCTAGTTTGTGCTCTATAAAGCTATATCTTGACATTATCTAGACAGCTGTAATTTTTTTTTTTTTTTGACATAGCATTTTTGCTGGTATGGCCAAAATATCCTATGGGTGATTTGGTCTCATAAGAACATAAAAATCAAAGTGACACACATGTTTCATTTTGGTTATTTCCCTTCCGTAGCTATCGTCCTTGACAAGGTCAATGTCAAAGGTTACACCGGCTGGTCTCTGATGGACAATTTTGAGTGGTCAAGAGGTTACGCAGAAAAGTATGGCGTCTACTCTGTGGACTACAGCAGCCCGAACAGAACCAGGACGCCCAAGGCATCGGCCAGATATCTCTTTGAGCTTTTCAGGTAGGTCGTGGGTTCTATATTTGGCATGTTTTCCTACATTCGTCAATTCTTCATACTTTCAGTCTAATTATGTTTAATATTTAAATAAAACATGAAAAGGACACTGCTTCCCGTCTTGTAACATCTCAGGTATGAGTGCTCGTCATCATCAATCAGTAGGTCCTTTACGAAACATTGCTCTCTTCACTGCATGCCTGAAAGCTTCCCATTCCCTATCACATTTCCCAACCCTACGTGGTTTTATATTCAAAGCATGTTCAATGTCTTGTATCCCTTTTCTGGAAGGTTGTTGACCTCTGCCTCGTTTAAAAAAAAAACAGGAACCCTTCGTTGCTACTCTATCCAGACTACAATGGCGCTTGGCATGACCAAGATACATCAGCTTTCGGGTCAGGATGCTGTTTATGAGCCAGTTCTCCTCGATGTTCAGGTGATGTGGGGTTTCGGCGTGTTTCTTCTTTTTGGTCCACTGTATTTTAAGACATTTTTGTGAATTTTACGCTCGTCTCCCCATAAGCACACCGTTACATACTAGCTCGCTTCTGATTGGACGACCTATTAAGCAGCTTACTTCTTGTAACACAGTTAAGTCATTACTTGTTTGAAGGAAGTGGGTTATTACGCAGAGTTATGGTGTACTGAACATCAACAAGTTTTGGCAGCCTTGACATTCCCTTTTCCAGAATCTTCTTTTCTCGCCAGAACAAGCTATTGACATCAAACTGATGTTGTCTGGCCTTGGCCTTCTTTCTATAAGTTTTGAAATGCATTCTTTTCATCATGTGACCCAACCTTGTCGTACTAGTGAATACTTTGTTGACGTGCCTTATCAAAGCAAACACAATTGTCCTTGTTTTTCTAGAAGCTTCTATGACCTCAATTGTCAGTTTAACTACTATATCTGCGTAGAATAGGATGATGAAATCTGATGCAATCGAAATATAATTAGAAAATCCCACGTGAGAACCTACCTAGTAAACAAGTTGAGGTGTACTGGAATATTCTAGAAGCAGACAAAGCGAGAAGAAAACAAATATCTAGCATTCCAGCATTCAAGTATAAATAGCGAGTAACAAAGCACTTTAGCAATTCTTCAGTCCACAAGACTCAAGAGAGGAGAGGCCAGTCACATGGGCTCCCAAGACTGCCTTCAGTGGTAGAGATGTAAGCCCAACACTAGAAGCCTTCAGTCGTTGAGACTCAGAGAACGAGCGACTAGTCTCAATGATCCTTGATGCCAGCTCAACACTGGAAGCAGAGCAGCCGTTCATATTGAACCTAGAAGACAGTCACTGGAGAGCAGACATGAAACGAGACATCGAGCTACAGAGACGACACACAAGATATACATGGATCCATGGTCAACAGAGACACATTAGAAACACTACAGAGATGTTAGAGTCGACGATAAAGCCGTTAGTACCAACAGTACTAGAAGCCAGGTGGCAGTTAGTGACACTAGAACCAGTTTAACAAAGTAACTAAAGAAGAAGAACACAACGCGAACCTACGAGTATTTAGCCATAGAGATAACTTAGCGCTATTCAGAATATCATTGATGTTATTTGTGACATTGTTGGGGTATCACAATAAAGACAGTGTAGACGAGAACTGTTGATTTCAGCCATTTTGTTTACAAGCATCAAAGTCACGTGAGAAGCATGCAGTTAGCAAGACATCATCATCATCATCATCATCACTATCGACACGACCATCTTTCTCCACTCGTCTATAATCTTCCAATCGACTCCTCCTGTAGCAAACCTAAAGACGAACCTGGGTGTTACATCAACGTACGCCACAAAGTAGAGAGCTGTGCTACATAAGGAGGAGGTCCGATTTTGGTGTCTTACGACCAGGATTCGAAGATTGAAGGGAAGTTTTCAAGACTATTACAGATGTAAGAATCTCAATTTTGGCACCGTTCACGCACAATTTTCAAGGCCTCAAGCGTTTTGTAACACACTTCTACAGATGTAAAGTTGAGAAGCAAGTTTCGGTGACGTTTTTTTCCGAGAACTTTCAAGCATCAGCGAAATGTAAACGAAACTTCTACTATTCAAGAAACTCAATTTGGTTGCCTCGAGAAGCTTTGCTACGATCACCTAGCAGAATGACATCTCCAAACAATTTGTAAGACACGTCAAACAACGCCACGCAAAGTCACTCAACCTTATGAGACAGTAGTTTCACACGCTGAGCCAGAGTTTTCAAGTTCCAACGATGAATGAAAGCACTACGCAGACGTTTTCCAGTTTCAGCGAACATAACAAAAACTACGAGTACGATCACAATGACAACCAGTCCAGAAGCAGAGACATGAGCAGCAAAAATAGAAGCAAATTTAGACATTTATCATCAACATCAAGAAGCCATTAGTCCCAGAAGACAGCAGTTCAAGACATCCAGAAGAGTAGCAGTCCAGAATTCAGAAGACCAACATTACAGAAGTCCAAAGCTCTAGAGTTGCAGAAAACCAACGATTTCGAAGCCTAGAGTACAGACAACTAAAGCTCCAGAAGTCCAGAAATGCAGCCGACGAATGTTCAAGAATGCAGAATTCCAGAAGACCAAAGCTATAGAAGTCCAACATACCAGAAAACCCAGAACGACGTTATGCACGTACAGCAGAAGCGTAAGAAACATTTTTTACACCTGACATTTTTATATCATTCAACGAACTACACACTGGTGAAATCCAGGACAACGAAGACAAGAAGAACAACATAACGACCAGAAAGAAGAAGTCGCTATCCTATGCTAACAACAGATCAACTCAACTAGACGACCATCAACAACCAAAACGAAGCAGACATGAAGAGAAGAATACTTCAAAGACTAGAAACCCAACGCAACCACAAGATCCTACTACTCGAAAGACAATCTCAGCTGCATAGAACCAGTAGAGACAGATAATTACAAATCCATGAACAAAGAACAGTTCCGTTTTCACAGAGCTACAATATTTGACAATCCAAAAAATAAAGAGACGAACAGGCACAAACTACCAGATGCTTACGGGAAATAAGGCAGGGTCAGATTATTATTTAGTTTGTTTAAGATTATAGAAAGTGTTATGTAAATTTGTTTTAAATATGGTAGTGCACTAGAAAATGGAGGCAAATGATAGTATAATTTGATAGAAGTGAAAGGTATGATAAGAATGAGTCATTCCTGAACGAGGCAGTAGACCCGTACCTATACAAATAAAGCCTAAAGCACTCAAAGAAGAAGAAGAAGAAGAAGAAGAAGAAGAAGAAGAAGAAGAAAAAAAAAAAAAAAGAAGAAGAAGAAATAGTTAATTCAGTGAACGATGATGATGATGTTTATAAAAAAAAAAGAACAAAGAATAGTAAATGAGAAATACATTTTTCACACGCATACACAGCACAGTTTCTCCTGATGAAGTATATTCTTGAGTAAGATAGTAGATGATTAATAAATAGATTAAATTTTACAGATACACAGTCAAGTGTCAAGGATAATTATTAGACTAAAATGTATGAGTTAATGTCTTATAAGAGCTTTGTGGAAGTAATTGTAGTGAAGACAGAGTTAAACGCATTTTTCTTACATTACATAATATATCGGGAAGCGGTGATAGGGCATACTTACGCGACAATGAGAGAACTATAAGGGTAAAAAAAGAAATAATACAGACAGGGCACATGTAATTAGAAGTTGATCATTTTCTATTAAGAGAAGCAAGAAGATTAAAGATAAATTAGCAGCCTAGTAATGTGTAATGAACAATAATAATAGACGTATAATGATGCCATATGTGACAAATTATTTTGTTTGTTGTGTGTTATGAAAAGCCATGCCCTGAAGGATGTGAGTGAAGCAAAAAGACATGTTGCAGATAGGAGAAGAGTTAATGTGTAAATTTTCACTTTTCATTTATGTGTATTAACTTTGATTGTGATGTCAAATAAGATAAGCGTTGTCATGAAGACAAAAGAGCAAATGCATCATATAAGTTTTAAAAAAAAAAAGTAGTGAGATGGACAGGAGTGAGTTAATCTGTGTTGTTCAGTCAGACTTTCGCTTTTCAAGTTAATTTGCTTTGTAAATATACACACATTTATGTTATGATCTGTGTAAACATTGATGACTATACAGTTACTGAAAAGAAACTAAGGGACTGTCACAAGTAGTGAGGTGACAGATGTGAAGAGACTAGACAATGAGTTAATGTGTATTTTATTTTAAGATTTTTGCTTTTTCTTTTCTTCTCAATTCGCTTTGTATGTATCGCATTCATGTAATTAATATGATGATTAAGAAGAAGAATAAATATAACTGGTGTAATGAACTTGATGTCACTAAGTAGAGCTGATTAAGCTGTAGTGACACTGAGGATTAAGATTAAAGGACCTAATGACGGCAGAGAGGCGGATTACGGCGAAAATTGCCGGCCTAGGGCCGTTAGGTCGAAGATATTACAGACGGTAGAGTGACCGTCCTGATGAGGTAGATACAAACGGTAGAGTGACCGTCCTGGTGAGATATAACTATATTTTGTAAATAAATATGCATATATCTACTTTTTATTCTTTTATTTGCTTGATATTATATGCCATTTTTGATGTTTGTCCTTGAGTTTAATGAAAGTAAAGTGGAAGCAGAGAGGTGCGTCCACGTTGAGGAGGTTGACACGGTTATATTCGAGGTCTGATCTAAGGAGAGTTGAAGAGAGTTGCCAAGGTGTGCAATTGGCACTTGGCAAAAGTTATATTAATGGCGTGATTTTGGCAGCTGCGTTTAGCAGTACAATCACATCAGTAGACTAAGTTATAGACGTTAGACCACGTCAAATCGCAGTTTATGTTGCTAGAATCTTAAAATGTCGTAAAGAGTTAATTTTATGATATACTTGTATGGCTCATGAATGTGATAAATGTAGAAGTTTCGTTATGCATGTGTAATTTTTGTTGGTTAAGAAGATTCCATTGACTGACTGACTGACTTTCTACCCCACCAGGACATCACACAAGCGATAAACACCCGACGACACAAAGTGCCACCATGCGGACGAGGATCGCCGTGAAGAGGTCCCAGAAACCGCGTTCAGACATTTGGCCACATGTATGGCCTGCCTATATTGCGGCTCCTGGCAAAAGTCAGAGTGGGGCTTCAAATAACAAAAAATTACGTCCTAAGAAGGATGTATAGAATAATAACTTGTTGCAAAAGAGTTAACAGATTACATGACACAGTAACAGAGTTAACAGGTTAAGTGCATGACACATGATTAAAGCACACATAATATATCCACAGCAAAGAAAGCACACTTGTTACCTTTACATGAAGAAATAACACCATTCAATACAAGCGAAATGAACACTACACATACATATCCATTTCATAAAGGGATTTGAGCGCAGACCAACGCCACTCGTGTCCTCGAGCAATGCCAAGCAACTGACGCCAGAGTAGGGGAGGTAATCGAATAAATGAGAACAGGCCTGTTGACATCCACACACACACACATTCCTAAAAACGATGTTCAGCACATCCCAGAGTGGTCATTTTATTGTTTTGACAGGGAGCCCTATTCTTGTATAAGGAAAAGTTTACTTTTTGCCACACAAAACTTTAGAACCCTTGGTTGAAACAATGTAAAACTGTCTATGTGTTTATATATCTACGCTGCAAGAGGTGTGAAAAGGTACAATTCTAGTTCACTGTCAAATAGCTGACCCTAGGTCATGGAAACAACAACATCTAGCCAGCCTGGAGGAAAGATAAACCAGGTCTCCAACATCGGTTGTTTTGTTAGTGACGGAGAAGAATGCTGGCAGACACTGGTAGTGATATTTTGTAACAATTTTGTGAAGCGTTTAGATGTACAGCCCACTAGAACTGGGACCAGTGGACGCTTGATGCAGTATGAGACATACCTAGATCAACTGTACCTTTCCAACGCATTTCCCCTGTACATCCTCAGATACAAAAAAATAAAAAGTGCAAGAGAGAGACCAGAGATTATTTTTAGTTTCAATGAGTATATTTGAACTCAGCCCATCCAAATCATGGTGTTTCATTGGTCAACATATAGAGACAAAGAGATAAGAGATGATGAGGTATTGAGAGACATTCATGTACTGTGTCATTATAATTTTTATGATTAATACTAATTATTGCAAATGTTACGAAGTTTACTGTGCATTATGTTACTGTGTAAGATCTAAAGAGATGTATAAAAAAACACATGTAGCAGATGTCCAGACACTTTTGAAACGAGTAAGGATTCGAACCCGAGACACTTGTGCTGGTAGGCAGTCGCAGATACCTACTGCGCACGTGATTACCAGTCAGGCTAGAGAAAGGTCAGAGATAATTAAAACACACAGCGGTAACGCCCGTAACTGGTGAAGTTTATGTTTACATCATGTCGTACTGGCGAGGAATTGTTTTGGTAACTGTCGTGTTGACAGATGGTGGAAGGCACGATGGCTTTGTAAGAGTTGGCAATGAAAATAATTCATGCCTGGTACCAGAGGAAATATAAGCATACGGTTACAAAAATATGTTGAACCATTGTGCAGGTGGCTGTAAAAGAATTTTATGTTGCAGTCATGGGCGTCGAAACTGAACAGACAGAAGTGTATCTTAAATGTGGAATCTGTTTTATGAGATGTAAATGAATGGTTTTAAAAACTGAAAAACATCTTTCCAACTGTATTCGTACACACATTTTTTTTAAGATGCATGATAGAATGGTACTCAGAGATGAGAGATTATATACTGTGTATTCATTAGTAGTCGCATAAGAAGAAATGTTTGTGATGTTTTGTGTACATGTATTTGATGTAATCATTTAGCACAAGAGTGTGCAACTATTTAAGAGATTGTATTGCAGGGATTGAAATGATACTTATGAAGAACAGAGAACATGAGTAATAGTTTAATTTGATGAACAATATGAAGATGTATAATATTAAAGTTTATGTTAATGATTTTTCTGCAACAATGATTAGAGATGGGTTGTTGAGGATCGCAACCCTTTGATATTTTTATATATGATGCGAGATGTTGATGTAAAATTGAATTATGTTGATGTATAATTGTACATGGCTTATAATATTTGTAAAATGGCATCTGATTTAAGATATATTAGTAGCATAAAATGTTCACATTTGAGTGAACATTTTCTTTTTAGGAGGGAAGGGTTGTAACACAGTTAAGTCATTACTTGTTTGAAGGAAGTGGGTTATTACGCAGAGTTATGGTGTACTGAAAATCGACAAGTTTTGGCAGCCTTGACATTCCCTTTTCCAGAATCTTCTTTTCTCGCCAAAACAAGCTATTGACATCAAACTGATGTTGTCTGGCCTTGGCCTTCTTTCTAGAAGTTTTGAAATGCATTCTTTTCATCATGTGACCCAACCTTGTCATACTAGTGAATATCTTGTTGACGTGCCCTATCAAAGCAAACGCAATTGTCCTTGTTTTTCTAGAAGCTTCTATGACCTCAATTGTCAGTTTAACTACTATATCTGCCTAGAATAGGATGATGAAATCTGATGCAATCGAGATATAATTAGAAAATCCCACGTGAGAACCTACCTAGTAAACAAGTTGAGGTGTACTGGAATATTCTAGAAGCAGACAAAGCGAGCAGAAAACAAATATCTAGCATTCCAGCATTCAAGTAACAAAGCACTTTAGCAATTCTTCAGTCCACAAGACTCGAGAGAGGAGAGGCCAGTCACATGGGCTCCCAAGACAGCCTTCAGTGGTAGAGATGTAAGCCCAACACTAGAAGCCTTCAGTCGTTGAGACTCAGAGGACGAGCGACTAGTCTCAATGATCCTTGATGCCAGCTCAACACTGGAAGCAGAGCAGCCGTTCATATTGAACCTAGAAGACAGTCACTGGAAAGCAGACATGAAACGAGACATCGAGCTACAGAGACGACACACAAGATATACATGGATCCATGGTCAACAGAGACACATTAGAAACACTACATAGATGTTAGAGTCGACGATCAAGCCGTTAGTACCAACAGTACTAGAAGCCAGGTGGCAGTTAGTGACACTAGAACCAGTTTAACAAAGTAACTAAAGAAGAAGAACACAACGCGAACCTACGAGTATTTAGCCATAGAGATAACTTAGCGCTATTCAGAATATCATTGATGTTATTTGTGACATTGTTGGGGTATCACAATAAAGACAGTGTAGACGAGAACTGTTGATTTCAGCCATTTTGTTTACAAGCATCAAAGTCACGTGAGAAGCATGCAGTTAGCAAGACATCATCATCATCATCACTATCGACACGACCATCTTTCTCCACTCGTCTATAATCTTCCAATCAACTCCTCCTGTAGCAAACCTAAAGACGAACCTGTGTGTGACATCAACGTACGCCACAAAGTAGAGAGCTGTGCTACATTCTGATATGTCGGCCTTGAGCGATCTGACTGTCCCACAAGGTCACGGGGATATTCCGCACTCGCGCTCATACCGTGTGTTGTATATTTCACCATGCCAGAGATTTTGATACTTCTAAAACATTTAGATACTGGTTCTAACACACAACCTTTCTCGGAAATAAAAACGTAAATACCAGACAACAGACGGCGACACCCATAACCTCGACCACGGTAGACTAGTCCAACCAACTTTTCAATGCAGTTGACCTACAACCGGTGGTGTGCAAATGGGAAGACGAGTGTAAAATTCACCGACATTTTCTGTAACATTTCCCATCAAAAGAAACGATTTGTTTCTTGATGAAAGACTAAGTAAGAGTATATGACTCACATCTAAATGTTGCCAAGAGAAAACTTTGATCTGACGCTAGCAGAATATTTTAACGACAGACTGATACTTGATGACAGATATGGATTATTTCAGGTTAGTATCCGTTTTTTCCTCAAAACATGTTCTGAACACCTCCCCCCCCCCCCCAACCCCCTCCCCCACCCGGCCCACCTTAGAGTTGAAGTCTTTAAATTAAATTACAGCATTGCTTCAAACAATAACAAAGCTGATAAATAAAATTGCGAATAAAATGAAGGTGCATCAAGGTTGTTATACATATTCAAATTACCTTTTTAAAAAAGTTTCGCAACCCTATTTTCAGATTTCCTACCTCTAATGTATTATCAGTTATGAGGCTAACAAATATTTTCACACAGAGCCAACGGTTTCATCCCTGGAACATTCACCGATCCTAAACGACCTTCCAGTCTTCCCTTCTTGAACTCCACATTTTACGGCCAGTTTCCCGCCAATTTCTCGTTTGGTGTCTCCGCTTCCGGATACGATGATCGCACTGAAGGTAAGCAGACCACGGACCACAATTTGAAAATGAATGTGTTTAACTTTTGATAGACACAAATCTGGCATACAGATTAAACATTAAAAAGAGTATAAATAAGACTTATATTGTATGGATTAATTGACACTCGATGAGTATTGTCGCATTTACTTCCAGCGCATTTAATGTATTCTAAATTTGTACTTTAAAATATTTCTTGGCCAAAAATTTGTCAAATGGTTTAACTATTCAATTGCTATGGCCAGTCTCCTATTGAGTGTTCTGTTGAACAACTTCTCTTATTGTTGGTTATGGAGCTATGGTGATACAAGTTTGAGACACTTTTCATTTCTTTAAGTTTTTTTTTTTTTCTGTATATTTTATTTCTACTGGCACATGACGATGGGGGTGATGGCGGTGAGTGATTCTTTGAGGATGATTCAGCGGGTCGAGGCAGGCTGGTTACACAGACAGTGGAATGAGTCATTTCAAAACTCTCCTGTGTGTGCAGTTACCTTCATATTTGTCCCAGGTTATGCAGGTGTTGTTAGTCATAAAAGAGCTGATAGACTGGCAGGTGCCGCATTAACTGAAGATGACCGGCCCATGGATCACGCAGACATTGTCATTGCCATTAGAGAGATAGGACGTTCCGTGGATTGTGGAAGCAACGTATCTACATCACTGTGGAATACGCTAGTTGGGAATAAAGATCGGCATAGCCAAGCATGAGAAGCACACCGGACGCACACAAAGTCTTGTCAACCAGCATAGGACTAGCACTATTAACATCGTGGCGCTGATGAATATGTTAGGGGGGGGGGGAAGAGCCTGAGCACCTATGGATGTATCCGGAGTGCTGTGAAGATAATCCAGATAATACTTACGATAGTCATATCTAGTGTAAAAACTGAAAGATGTCAAGTTCAGCGAAAGCACAAAAAGATATACTAAGCGCAGCCACATAAAAATAATTTATTCAGTATTGACATGGAAAGATAATATATTCAGTGTAAGCACAGAGCAATTGTCCCATCTACAGACCGAGGCGCCAGTGTGTGGGACGCCATCCTCGCCAACATCACCAGACCCCTGAGCCGACAGATCAGCCCTCTGGAAGAATTCGCCCATGACCTCGATGCCGTGAGGACAATCAAGGTATCAACTCTGCCTGCACGTTGTACTCGTATAACTGGAGTTGATTATATACTGAGTGCATCTTTTTTTGTGTCTTCCTAGCAAAACGCGTCTTGTTCTGCATATCGTGTGAGACGTGTGCACACAGAATTGCTCACACTATGTCTTATACTAAATTTTCCTCCCGAAAGAGGTATTTTTTTATTGTGCTGTCTTATTGTTTTACATGCGCAAAAATTTTAATTTATATTATAATGTATTTAAAAATTACTGTAAAAAATGTTATTTAATATCATTTATAATTAAGCACTCATTACTTTATAATTCAGTATGTCGGTCGTGTGTTTGAAAAGATGAACGAAATCGATGCGACTGATTGGTTGAAATTACCTAGGGCTTATAATTAGCGTAGGGCTTACAATAATTGCAGGCGAGCCGTCGTGACGTAGAGGCTAGACGTTTGCCTATGGATCGGAAGGACGTGGGTTTAGGTCCTGATGGTACCAGTTTTTTAAAATGACCTTAGCTCACATGTAGACCCAGGCTTGATACCAGGTGCAGTCCTGGGAAGTAAAGGCGACAGCGTAACAGTGAAAAGGTCATCACTTGTTTTTAGTAGGTAGGATACTCTGTATTAGTTGAAGGGACAACAGGTTTTAGCAAAAACTGGCTTTTCCCTTCTAGAAACATCACGTGCAGAGAGATTGTTGCACTATACTATATTGTGACCCCAGGCAGAGCTTTAAACTTTGATTATACTCTATTCTGACCAAATGCTGATCACTATACGTTCATTATATTCTTATCACAGACAGAGCACTACACTTCATTCACTATACTATATTCTTCTCACAGGCAGAGCACTGTACTTTCATTATAATATATTCTGATCACAGATAGAGCATTACACTTTCACTATACTATATTTTGACCACAGGCAGAGCACTATACGTTTACTATCACGTGGTCCCGTGTGCTGCCAACTGGCAAGGCTGGTGGAGTTAACCAACCCGGAGTGGACTTCTACAACGCCCTCTTTGACCAGCTGATCGACGCCGGGATCAGACCGGTGGTGATTCTACATCAGTGGGATTATCCCAGTGTTCTTCAGGTGGGAGCTTGAGAGAGAGAGAGAGAGAGAGAGAGAGAGAGAGAGAGAGAGAGAGAGAGAGAGAGAGACAGAGAGAGACAGAGAGACAGAGAGAGAGATTCAGGGTCTGGCCAGTAGTGATTCTACATCAGTGGGATTATCCTAGCGTCCTTCATGTGAGAGCAGAGAGAGAGAGAGAGAGAGAGGAGAGAGAGGAGAGAGAGGAGAGAGAGAGAGAGAGAGAGAGAGAGAGACAGAGAGAGAGATTCAGGGTCCGGCCAGTAGTGATTCTACATCAGTGGGATTATCCTAGCGTCCTTCATGTGAGAGCAGAGAGAGAGAGAGAGAGAGAGAGAGAGAGAGAGGAGAGAGAGAGAGGAGAGAGAGGGAGAGAGAGAGAGGAGAGAGGGAGCAGAGAGAGAGAGACAGAGAGAGAGAGATTCAGGTCCGGCCAGTAGTGATTCTACATTAGTGGGATTATCCTAGCGTCCTTCATGTGAGAGCAGAGAGAGAGAGAGAGATGGAGGGAGAGAGAGAGAGAGAGAGAGAGAGAGAGAGGAGAGAGAGAGAGAGAGAGAGAGAGAGAGAGTCAGGGTCCGGCCGATGTTGGTTTTACATCAGTGAAATAATGCTAACACTAACATAAACTTTACACCCTAATATAAACCCTACCCAAGTATTGCGCTGTCCCAAGCGTGAGCCTTAGTTAAGTTTATCAGCCAGGCTGACGGATTTGGAAGTACATTTTACATTAGAAAGCTGTTGCAGATAAAGATGACAGTCTCTGTAAGAACAAAGGTAAATTTGTATACTTGATCAAATGCAGACTTTTGTTCCTTATAAAAACTTTATAAGTCCTACGGTCTCTTTTGGTTGAAAAAAAAAAAAAAAACAACCCGGTCTTATTTAACAGTTCTGTGCCGTCCGCACAATGAAAACTGACCACAGTGCATCACTGCTGTCTTTGGGATAATACATGGTGATGTCCCAATCTAATCCGCGGTGCGACTCTCGTCCCATTGTCCGACCCCATGAGAACGATGTTTTTTTCAAACCCTCCACGGCGGGTAACGATCCCTAGTATTTGTACAACTAAAGAACTCCTTTCCCCCGCCTTTGGGTGTATTGGGCACCTTTAAAAATATATATTTTATAGATCAACCAGCACTCGGTTTGTCATCTGGTCAAAATCACTCCGGCGGCCTTTACTTCCTATGACTATACCTGGTACCCACTCAAGGATGGGTCGACTTTGATGTAACAAAGAAAAGGGCTCTCCTTTCAACTTTGGCCGGTAGACAAACATCAACGGCCGGTTAGTGAGAGTTATGTCCCCTTGCTACAGGGCAATTACGGACTGGAGACGGCTCGAATCAAACAACACAGTGAGGTCGACATGCAGACCCCGCGCTGCCACTCCAATTAGCGAACGCGTTCAATTACCGCATCTTCTGACGCATTACGGAGTGGACTAGAGGGAACGAGACAAGTGACATAGTTACTGTGTGTCGGCGATAGACAGCGTGTAGTGCCCTGGGGTTAGGGGTAGGTTTAGGGTTAGGGTTAGGGTTAGGGTTTGGGTTGCTACTATGAGTTTGTGCGAAGACGAGATGCGGCGACACTAACCTTAACCCTAACCCACATCCTAAATCTAACCCTACCGCTAAACCAAACCCTATCCTTAACCCTAAACCTAACCCTAACCCAAACCGTAACCGTATGCTGTCTATCGGCAACACACAGTAATTACATCATTTGTATCGTTCCCTCCTGTCCAGTCCGTAATTGCACTGTAGCAAGGGGACATAACTCCGACTAACCGGCCGTCGATGTTTGTCTACCGGCCGAAGTTGAAAGGAGAGCCAAGAAATGTCCGGTTCAGTCAGGGCGAGCGTCTAGCCGCTAGATGACGGTGGCTCCCCGTGGTGCTTGAGGATGATGAAACTGTAAACCGGATTCGATAACCTCCAAGTCACGAAGCCGTAGTGGAAAACACGGTAATAGATCAGATGCAAGGGGTTCGTGACACACTGATGCCTGGCAGAATAAACCAGAACTTTAGAATATCCTGGAAACACAAAGAAACGTAGCGTGCGTTGTTTAGTACTGAAACAGTTAGTAACTTTTAAATCCGATCACCTGTGACAATATCTTTTAAAATCACGTAAATATCTCCACGCAGGACTATGGCGGCTGGTCTAACGAGTCTATGATACAGGAATACTTACATCTGGCCAGAATTTGTTTTGAGAATTTTGGATACAAGGTAACCGTCTGTTGTAGGACAAGCTGTGTAATTGTGCTGTTCCTAATACAGGCTGTGTAGTTGTCCTGTTCCTACTACAGGCTGTGTAGTTGTCCTGTTCCCAAGACAGGCTGGGTAGTTGTCCTGTTCCCAACACAGGCTGGGTAGTTGTCTTGTTCCTAATACAGGCTGTGTAGTTGTCCTGTTCCTAATACAGGCTGTGTAGTTGTCCTGTTCCCAAGACAGGCTGGGTAGTTGTCCTGTTCCCAAGACAGGCTGGGTAGTTGTCTTGTTCCTAAAACAGGCTGGGTTGTTGTGTTGTATCTAGCCGCTAAACGCACACGATCGATCGGCTTGACCCAGTCGAGGCTGTTACCTCAAAGTTTACCACATCAGGGCTGGCATTGCAAAATCTCATTCTGGAAAGTAGGCCAACGAAGCGGATCTGAGATACCCTGTTCAACCTCCAGAGAAGTTATAATTAAGCCATACATACCACCTACACCAGCCAGGTGTCACTTGCAGTCCCACCTGTGTAAGCACCATGCCAGAATTGTTTCCCTGTCTTAAGTTTGCTATTTGTCTTGGGAGACTAAGCTGCTCCTCAGAGCAGTGGGAGCCCAGGTAACTTACGAGGCTGGACACTCGCCTGTCCGGCGGGATGTTCACCACATTATCTACCAAGTACCGACTGGTCTAAAAAATATAGGTCCAACACTACACGACTTTTGCCGAGGCAACTTGTGAACTTGAGTCATGCACTCTTAATCTTTGAAGAGAAATTGAGATTTTGCGCTGAAATGCAACAGAGCAATACTTAGAATACAGTGGGCAAAGCAGAAGAAAAACATCGACATCCTACATGATCTGAACATCGAGGAGAATTGGCTCATAAACAGCACTCTGTCCCGAAAGATGTGGAATTCTGTCCACCTTATTCATCAGTGGTCAGAAAAGAATGATGATGGAGGGTGCATTTTCCGGAAACGAGACATAACGCCGACCTCCGCGAAGGAGGATAAAGACACTGAAGAAGGTGGGGCTGTGAAAGTACATAGGGCTGGAAAAGTTGGCTAAAGAAAGAGAGCTTCAGGGCATACCATTCTGTAAAGGAGGAGTGCCTACATGCCAGATACACCTGATAACGTGGACCTTGACTTGACTGGACTCACTTTCTCTAATGCAGTGAAGGTTAGTTGCGTATCCTTTACAGGACGTTGCAGAACCAACCCCAGCAGCCCCTAGCTGTTGTGTGGTTTCTCTAGGCAAATTTACATCCAGTAGTTTGCCATTGCTTACTGGACGGTTGACTCCCTGATACCACTGTCGAAACCCAACGCAGGGCGCATGGCCCGCAGCTGGGATCGAACCCGGCACCCAGGCATTACGAAGCGTTCGCATCGACTTAGCCACAGAGACGACAATGGAGTGAAAGCAGACTTTTGTCCAAACAGGCGTACATTTTTTTTTTTAAATCAGATTCGTTTGATGCATTCTTGGAAAATATAAAACAGCTGAAGTATTCCGAGTTGCTGTTGTAGCACACAGTCAAGTTAAAAGTACATAAAATAACATATAATCCACTGAGAGACTTCTGTATTGACCCTAAAACCTAGGGAGTCGCTGCATATGACAGCTCATCCTGGCGTTCATCTCTTCATCGAGGAGCTGTGGCCTATGTAGCTGCTAGAACTGCAGCAGCAGTTCAGTAAAGTCAAGTCAGGAAAGACACTGAAGCAAATCACCAGAGAGATGCGGCCTCAATTCCCTGTCCACACTGCCCAAGAACGTTCAGTGCTAGAACTGGCCTTATGAGCCTTTTGCGGACTCACAAAACCTAATCCAGTCACCATTGGATGAAAAGACTGGTCATCTTCACTTGTGATGGGCGACTTCAGTGCAATCACAGAACCTAATTCAGTCAACAGCGGGTGAAAGGACTGTTCATCTTCACTTGTGATGGACGACTTCAGCGCAATCACAGAACCTAATTCAGTCAACAGCGGGTGAAAGGACTGTTTATCATCACTTGTGTTAGACGAACAAAAGAACACTGTTGCACTGTTGGTGCCAAATGTTTTCACTCATGTTTAAATTATTTGGTCTGCCCCGGCCCCTCTGTCCTGGTACCAAATTATTTACTATTATTCTTTCCAATCAGTTGTCGCGCTTGATATGGCCAAAATATTTATGTTCTTGAGGCAAGGTGTTATTTATCAGCCAATCTTCCTTGATGTTCAATCTCAAACAGAGTTCCTGAGTATTTCCTGTTGCTCTTATACTATTTGTCAGGTCAAAGTATGGGCAACATTTAGTGAGCCAGAGAGGATTCCTTTCATCTTCCCGGACATGGTCGAAGACAACGAATATCTGTTCAGTGTCTACCGTAACGTGTTGTTGGCCCATGCTGCGGCATACAGGCTGTATGAGCAACAGTTCGAACCTTCACAGAAAGGTTGGTTTAATTACGTTTTACTGATAATTAGTTACCAGGCTCAAAGTCGCACATAGTACTTTAAGGCTGCAACTTAAATTACAGATGTTATACTGTTTAACAAGGAAACGATTAAAAAAGGAAAATTCGTATTAGTTATCTGATGAAGCGTTGTTATTCCTTGACGGAAAGCCGGTAAGCTGAAAAACTATCCATGACACAGATTTTGAAAAAAAAAGGCAATTTATTGGTTGAATCCTAAGGTATTCTTGTGTGCAATTTGAACAGTTTCACACATTCAATCACAAAGATTTTGAATGTCAAAATTATGACAAATTTGTGTTGTTGTCAGTAGCTATAGGTTATTATTTTAACGATTATTATAATTATTTTTGGGGGGATGGGGGGGGGGGGGATAAGTTCTTCTTGATTTAAATTTAGGTGACCATCGTCCAAATATTTATTCTTCTCTTTATCCTTCTTTGAAACATAGACATTCAAATGACTCACGACAAGTGGTCCCTTTTAACCTGATATGTAGCCTTTTTTTTCTGCTACCATCGTGTATAGAGTGAGTGTAGTTTTTTTTTTGTTTTTTTTTAGCGTTTCATCTTCAACTGGGGTGTGGAGAAATTACTTACAATTTTGTTCAAATGTACCATTACACAATATTTGTAATCTCTTATTTCTAACATTAGAACCACAAAGATACAACATTTGGAATTCAAACCCCATCTTCTGACTTAAATGGGAATACTGCCGTGGTGTTAAAGCAGAACTGTTAAAAGTCAATACTGCCGTGGTGTTAAAGCAGAACTGTTAAAAGTCAATACTGCCTCAATTTGTAGTGTAGGCAGGAAGTTCTTTTAGTGTGAGGATTTAAGACAACATGGCTAGTTCTGTCACTGCAAGCTGTGGATTTTATTATTGCCTCCAACAGAAACAAATTCCACAACCTTATCGAGGATTCAAACCTACGTCTCCTGGATAAGATCCCAGCGTTCTTAACCGTCCGGCCAGCCGCTCCTTAGAAATGTTATTTAATGCGATAATAAAGTCAACATATAACTTGATAGGTCAGCAAATTATACATTCCAGGTGTCATCGGAATTGGACTGGCTCCCCTCCTGAGTGTGCCCCTAAACCCACACGACCCAGGACACGCAGCTTCAGCCTCCAAGTCTACAGACTACAGCTTCGGTCTGTTCGCTGACCCAATTTTCCTCAACGGTGACTTCTCCGATGAGGTCAAAAAAGTTGCTGGCTCGGCCTTGGTGCCTCTGTCTGAGCAGGAGAAGATTCTCATCAAAGGTTGGTACTCATCACGTTTACTGAGTGGGCTGAACTTTGCTAAGCTGACAGGTTTATCTGGTAAAGGATGCAACACGACGACATAGACAAGCATTCCTATGTTTACCGGTTGTTTTGCTAAAGGTAAAACATCATAATGTAGCAAACACTTCCGCTTGAATGTAAAATGTTAATTCTTCGCATAATCTTGACCACTGCATACGATATTAGGTGGTCAGTTCCCATCCACCTTAACTGTTACTCGTCTCTTCGCTTTTCCCTTCCAAAAAATTCTGGAAATTGGCTGCGATTAATAAGGTCTGTGCCGTCTATGTTATTTATCACACATTGAACCTGCGCTTACTAAAACTGGCAGAAGCTGTGACAATAAACATTTAGAAAATTGTCAAGTACTTGTGTGTACGAAGTTAAGTTGACCTTAAAACTTTACCGATGCAGAGAAAAAAAGGAAAGGAGGGGGGAGGAGAAATCTAGCCCCCCCCCCCTTCTCTCTCTCTCTCTCTCTCTCTCTCTCTCTCTCTATATATATATATATATATATATATATATATATATTGCACTTAGTGTGTGATGTGGTTACCTGGTACCTATTCTGCACCCGGTACCCATTCTGCACCTGGTACCCATTCTGCACCTGGTACCCATTCTGCACCTGGTACCCGTTCTGCACCTGGTACCCATTCTGCACCTGGTACCCATTCTGCACCTGGTACCCATTCTGCACCCGGTACCCATTCTGCACCTGGTACCCATTCAAGGCTAAATCGACCTGGGAGTTAAGGTCTTTTTTTTTTAAAGTCCGCCACCGTTAGGACCCAAACCCACGACCTTCTGATCCGCAGGCGAGCATCTAGCCGATACAACACAGAGACTTTATCCAACCCCCTCCCCTCCTCCCCCTTTTCCCACCTTTAAAAGTCATGATATCAAATATTGCATGCACTATTTTTTAAAAAGAATTAATAAAGGCATGCACAAAGAGATTATGTTTCATGTATGCACATTTTAGGATCCTCTTTGGTGCTAAAGATTTCGTGTTGTACTATGTTGACTTTCTCCTCTTGTCTAGGGTGAGACTGTGGTACTTATTGTGGATATCTGTGTGCAATGAAAGTGATAACTGATATCTTGTATTTTACCATGTTAACGATCCGTGTTCTCAAAATATTTACTTCAGTTTGTTTTGTTTATCTAAACAAAAAATATGATATGCTCTTAAACCTCTGCATTGCCACATATAATCACCTATTGTTTTCTATTGGACCGTCTTCGATGTTAACTATAGAGCAGGTATATAAGTGTGACATCATCATCATCAGTCAGCAAGTCCTTTACAGAACGTCGCTCTCTTCACGGCACGACTGAAAGTCTCCATTTCCCTAGCCAGCTCTCCAAACCCGTGTGCTTTCATTTTCAATGCATCTCTAATACCCTGTATCCATCTTCGATGAGGTCTACCCCTATCTCGCCTTTGCACCCAAACTTCAAGAGGCCACATTAGCACAGTCGATAAGAGACTCGCTTTCAAATCCAGCTGCGACTCGCTGCAGCCCACAGTCGGTGTTCGAAACAGGGCGGCTCCCGGGGTTCACCCAGCCTCTAGGAAATGGGTACCAGAGTTGACACTCTGGGGTAAATGGAGGAACGTCGCTGTAGCTACAGAATTACGTGCGAACGGCGACACAGACAGACAATTCTTATCAGATGCCATGGCTGGTGGCAGAGCACTTGTGGTTTATAACCGTGTGCAATGACGCTGGTTCCATCTCCCGACTTTATTTATTTTTGCCTTTACCTTTTCACAAACTGCACCCTTCAACACCGTCTTTTCTAAACCACCATGACGTTTGGTGTGGCAAAAATACTTCAACTTTCGAAACAGGACACTGTTTATGAGCCAATTCTTCTTGATGTTTAACTCATGTAGAATGTCCATGTTTTTCCTCTTCTGGATCTATGGTATTCTGGGCATTCTTCTGTACAATTTTAATTCAACAGCTCCAATCTGTTTCCTCGGTGATTGAGTGAGATTCCAGGACTCACAACCGTAAGTTGCCACAGGAAAACCGCATGATCTCAGATTTTTTTCTTTAACCAATTTACAGGTGCTTTGCCATAGGTTCTTTATGCTTTTTAATCTCTGCATTGCTAATGAAAGTATTCTTCTGATTTTTTTTTTTTTTTAGGACAGTCGCCACTGTTGTTCACTAAGGAGCCCAAGTATTTGAAATCTGTGACATTTTCTAGGGTGTGACATGAGTGTGACATGAGTGTGACATGAGTGTGACATGAGTGTGACATGAGTGTGACGTGAGTGTGACGTGAGTGTGACGTGAGTGTGACATGAGTGTGACATGAGTGTGACATGAGTGTGACATACACAGTACAATTGGCTGTTGTTTACTTCCTGGTTACAAATATTACAGGAAGTGCACAATTCTTTGGCCTGGCCTACTACCAGATAAGCCAGGTTGAGCGAAACGCCAGTGTCAAATGGCAGGCAACTCTGGCAGACAGAAACTACCCCAGCTTGAACACATCCAATCCTGCAGGTCTGAGGTTCACCCTGGGCCACATCCGCCGTCGCTACAACAACACCCCAGTTGTTATCACCGGAAATGGTGTCTGGACCAGCGATCCGGACTTGGAGGATTCGTTCAGGGTCCAGTTCATCCAACAGCACCTGGACGAGCTTCTCAAAGGTTAGAGTAATGCATCTTACCACCCATGTATTTTTTTCTTGACATTCATAATATGCATATTATTATGTGAACATAACATGCGTTATTGATAAAATACAAGTGTTGTGTGAAAGATGAGTGTTTGGAAGGGCCGAATGTAAGACGGGACTGCGTGACCAATTTGTGACCCTTTATAAAAAAAAAAATTTCGTCGGTAATTTCTTCGTTTTGTGTTAAAGACATACACACACACACACACACACACACACACACACACACACACACACACACACACACACACGAAGAAGAAGTAGTTGAATAATAATAATAATAATAATAATAATAATAAGAAGAAGAAGAAGAAGAAGAAGAAGAAGAAGAAGAAGAAGAAGAAGATGACGAAGAAGAAGAAGAAGAAGAAGAAGAAGAAGAAGAAGAAGAAGAAGAAGAAGAAGAAGAAGAAGAAGAAGAAGAAGAAGAAGAAGAAGAAGACGAAGAATATTCACACAGAATAAATTGCATTGACAGAGTAATTCAGCAAAGAAGGAGGGATGAGAAGAGGTTCAGGAAGATCTTTAACATTGAGAGGGGAAACAGAAGCGAACTTTTAATCGGACTGCATGCAACTGGTACTATTAACATGCTGACTCGTCGTTGGCCACCGGGGAAGGATACGGAGCACGTGTGGGTGTGACCGGAGTGCAGGAATGTCAACTCTTGGTTTATTCATTCATTTCTTTTTTCATCTTCATAGACACACACACACACACACACACACACACACACACACACACACACACACACACATATATATATATATATATATATATATATATATATATATATATATATATATATATATATATATATTCTAGCATTTCATTTCAGCGATCCGGATCGACGGAAGTGACGTCAAGGCCTACACATACCATTCCCTGGTGGACAGTTTTGAGTGGAATTCTGGGTACAGCCGCAGATACGGACTGGTACTGGTCAGTTTCTCTGACCCCACCAGACCCCGGTATCTCAGAGCCTCGGCTCAGGTCTACGCTAAAATCATCAGTGACCGTGGCATTCTGAGGGGCACCCGATAACTGGGTCAAGCTGTCTCCTGTTTCTAACCATTTATAATTGTCTGTTTTTTTTTTTTATCTGTGATTTTTTTAAAACTGACAAATGACATCATTTTGACAGGGTTAACCGTAAAGTTAAGCTAATGTGTGTATTCTTGTTATCAGTTGTATTATTATCTGTTTGTGCCGTTTGCTGATATGGGCCTAAAAGCCGTACAGTCCTTTTTATCGTTCGTTATTGTTGTATTTTTAATCAAACTGGCAAATTGACGTCGACTCTTTAACACACTTCAGACATATGTATTTATGTTTAAGAAAACAGGTTTTCTTAACTACTCGGTAACCATTTCAACGTTATAATGATAGTGTGTGTGTATGTATAAACTCACACACACACACACATACACACGTGCTTTATCATCATCACATGCCCTGCCGACTGGCGTACGCGTTCATGCATCTGAGCTAGCGCGAAGCGAAAACAAGAAACAAAAAGGGAGACGAGAAAAGAAATGTGGTTATGACAATAAGTATGAACTACTGAATAATCTGAACTGCAAAATCAGGATAATTAAAGGAAAGACAAGGGTTCTTCTTGTGCAGGGACCATGAAATATTACTCATGTTCCAGGCAATAAATACGTGTATAGTGAGTTAAACATCAGTTTATAACTACAGAGGCTGCACCCAGATTGATCACATGTATGGGCTACAAATTCTATTGTGAATTCGACAACAAAATGGAATATAACAATCACATTCAACATATGTTTATTTAACTGAATACAAAACTGGCATCCTTCGCAGATATTAATACACCAGCAATACATGTGATCGAACAGGCCATGTGCTAATCACTCTAGCTAACAATGATGAGAGTTTGCCTTCACTTCAAGGCAACTTACTAACAAACTCTCCGCGCAAGGATGCACGTGGAAATCTATATCTAAAACAATCTATCTACTCAACGTATCGCCAAAACACGAAATCAGTGAGCCAGTTTATCTCTCGTGGCTTAATCGGCTATACTTACGTTTCGTCTGAACCTTGTACGGTCCGGCAACGAGAAGTCAGGACTACATGTTTCTAGTGTCATTGCCGCAGGACAATGAGACAGTTTTCTTCTGCGCCTGGCCCTAATATCAACTTTCTGACTCACTGTTCACTTCTGGAGAGTTCCAATCTGTAAACCCACCAGTTTGAGCTTGCAAGTGTAGCCAAACCAAAATTATTATAACAGGTTAACCACCTGCTCCACCAGCTGTTACATACCTCCACAGATCTCGGTCCCTTGTCCTCTGGATCAAGCTCCACAAATGATATCCCTTTGTGCCACCGTCGCACATATGTTTAGCTACAATGATTTGTATGTATCCGCATGTTAGTTGCTTAAAATACTGGCGTCCGAAGTACTTTTCAATATTGTATTATTTTCTACTAATATAGGCGCATACTAGTACTTGATCATTTTCTGCTGATATCAGGCTTCCGATCAACATGGTGGATAAACAGGCTTACTGCTTTTAGTCATTGCAAATTGTTGCTTCTGGTGATAGCTAGCCATTGCATTTTCTTCCACATGTAGACTGAAAGAAAATAGTTCCGTCGCCCAGCTACTGTGTGTGTGTGATGTTCGACTGGCAACGCGGTTTCTCTTGTGAAGTGCGGATTTATAAAATGGTGAATGGCCTATGGATAGAGAACTGGTCGCAGCTTTTGCGATTAATTGCGCGTGCACTACTGATTTGGTGAAACTTTTTTTGCCACGACGATGAAATGTATTTCTTCTGCCGGACTGTCTGTGCTGGCACTTCTGATGGCTGCCATAGGCATTAATGCATGTGTATGCCATTGGCCTTGCTGAGACTGCAGTCTGTATAAATTAAGAACACACACACAACGTAAACACAAATAATTATAATTCAGACTCTGATATATATACACGTATATGACATAATTCTAACGCACACAGACACTCAAGCATATACACACACACATAACTCTATAATTCTAGCTCAGACATATAAATAGACAGAGATAAACAGACGTTCATGTTGTCTAGTGTTGCATTCTATCTTTTTACGTCTTTCTATGAGTGTCCATCAATACATTGCCTGTTTGTTTACCGAAATTATGTATATATGTCAATACAAACAAGCGCGCGCACACACGCACACTCACACTAATAAAACGCAAAGGTTTAGTAAAAAGTTGAATTGGTTTATTTATTTCTCATGGAAATGGAGAAGTAAAAAGTCATTACTGGAAAATTCTAGAAAAACAGTTCTCAACTCGTGGGTCGCGACCTATTTATAGGGTCGTCAAAGACCATCAAAAAAACACATATTCACTGGAGTTATGAAGTAGCAACGAAAATAACTGTATGGTTGGGGGTCGACAAAACATCGGGGCTAAGTGGTCTTGATGTATGGTGTCCGCCTCAGTTGCTGGAGGTCCCGGGTTCAAGCCCCAGTGTAGGCTGGAATTTTTTTTTTCATATGGACTTCTAGTAATTTCTCCTGGTCTCTGGGCAGTAAGACCGGACGCTCGTGTGTATGGAAAGTTGCAAACCACTGTTCTTGAACATCTGTACAATTTGTGTGGCAACGATTTTTCTACTAGACTGCTTGCGTGCTACACCAGATTCCATCTGATTGATTGATTGATGTGCAACCCCACTAGAACGTCACACTAAGCGATTACCACCCGGTGACACAAAGTGCCACCATTTGGATGACGATCACCCGTGGAGATGTCACAGAAACTCCGTTCAACCCATAGACGGGGTTATATTAGGGTCCCGGCAACAACCAGGCTAGAGCTTCAAAATGACGAAAAACTTGTCACACGTGCAGACCACCCCCCCCCCCTTTTCCGCCCCCCCCCCCCCCCAAGTTCCTTCTGGGTATGCCAGGTATAAATGGCTGAGGCTCGCACAAGAAGTTACCTCACCTACAAGATCTGAAAGGACTCTACTGTCCAGCCAATGTCGACAGTGCAGCCCTACCCGCACTGGACTACCGGTCACTTCGGAACCGTGTTGTGGTGCGCCAATATAACTGTCCTGTATGGCTGTACATTTTAAAGGGGTTTTCTGGAACTGCATCTGTGTGAATCTCGTCTCTGAGATGTTAACCCTACAGACTGAAGTCCCGAAGGAAACAACTAAAAAAAAGGGGGGGGGGATGTCAAACAACCATGACTTTACGACGGATTAACAGTTGATGAATCCCTTCCGACGAAACCCAGAGGGCGAGTAACGGAGCTGAAAAACGTTGCTGGAAAACTAATTACAAAAAACTTTAGCGCGAGCTGTTTGAGTGACCGTTTTTCGTTAATAGACAAAAGGCAGAAGATGAAGCAGCAGTGAAAGAAAGAAAAAAAAAAAAAAAAAAACCCGATGACGATGGCGCTGATTCGTATGTTACGACGTATATGTGAGTTTCTGAGTGTACAAATTTATTAACATAGCGGACACATTGAAATTTAAAACAAAAATGCCCCAACACCCTTTTGTCGGCACTCCTGTGAAGAAAGCGAACCCATACCCACCAGTACTGGGCTGCAGGTCATTTCCTAACCCCTTTTGGTCCTGTTCACGTTTCCCGACCCATCTCTACAATACCTGACCTTTCATTCATACTTTATCAGACTCTTCTACGTCGGAGGGGTGCCACATTGTATTTCCTTCAATTACATCAGCGCCGATGTCGCGTGTTCTGTACTACACGACGACACAGCTTTCAACGACTGCAGTACATGTAGAACTGGCCCTAACACAAACACCCCTACCCACAGCCTCAGCCTAGGTCACATGAGAGACTGTTTGACAAAGGCAGTACAGCGAGACACCCCTCTGACCTAAATCGGAATGAGAAAGTGTATAGATGGGCCAGAAAAAGTTGACAAGGACCTCCCGGCTATCCTTCGAAAACAATCCCAAATTATCGAGACCGAAAATATACCCTAACAGGGCCTCGGTCACATGTAAATTGCGGACTTCTGGCGAATACCACCACCGCCGAGAGTATCTCCCGCGTCGCTACGCGGAGTGGGGCTAAACTAGATGTCTGGGACTCACGAGCAAATAAAATGAAGGAAGTTGCAGGAGATGTGATAGCTGCTGCTCGTGAGTCCGAGCCATCTAGTTTAGCCGCGTGTAGCGGCGCGGGAGATACTCTCTGCGGTGGCAGTAGTCGCCGGAAGTCCGCCATTTACATGTGACTGAGGCCCTGTTAGTGTATATTTTCGGCTTCGATAATTTGGGACGGTTATTCGGAGAATAGCCGACCTCCCTTATTATCCTTATATAACTGTTTTATGCGGTTGAACTTCAATTCTGGGATAGTTTCATTCTGACTCACCTGTATGATTTGTATCTGACAGACTGCAATCCTAAAGTTCAAAACAAAAATCACAAGAAAAACGGAAGCCACAAATAAATCACAACTATACATGTGAAAATTTGAATTGGACCTGAACTGTAACGTGAATACAGCAGACTTCCGGTCTTATTGGTGGGTCATTCAGCAGGCAAGTTTGTTGTTGGCACACAGTCTGTCCAGCATGGCTCGCAGGTCGCTGCGGACAGTGTCCAGGTTGAGGTCAAGCACTCGGTAGAGACCGTTCAGTCTGCCCTCGATGCTGAACACAGATTTGCGCATCTCCTGCAGTAAAGATGGGACATTGATGCAGGAATCATGAACGGCACAGGTCCTTTGTATTACACGTCATTCACGTATAACATATTTATTTATGTGAATGATGTCTAGCAGGATGGAACCTACCAATCAAATCTCTTTCCCAAATGTTTGTAAGTTCTAGACAAAGCATTACGGTCTACTGTGTTTGTAAATTGTTGCTGTGTTTGTCATTAGACCTATGCTTGGTTAATATAAATGTCTGTAATCTATGGTGCCATTTCAATTATTTGCGATTAACTCTGTCCGTATTCCACAGTTGTGGATTTCAAACCGTATTATTGACAAATCAAATAAAATCACCTATTTGGGCTGACAAGTTGGTCGTGTTTTTAGTGCACTTGTTTCCATAGCGAGGCGCACACGCCATTCAGAGGTGATAGGTTTGATTCCCAGCACGATAGCTAAAGCTTTTGATTTTCATGTTCTCTAGTGTGTCCTTCTATCTTTCTACGTCTTTCTATAAGTTCCGATTAATACAATATCCGACAGTTTATTATATACAATAGTCTTCTACTATGCTGTATGGTGGCGTGTGTATCAGAGCCCATGGCGATGGCGAGTGTGACCAGCGAAACATGCTGACAATCATGCTTGCAATCATTTTCTATTGTGTCCTTATTACCCTCCCCCCCCCTCCCATCCTCCGTGCAACGCACTCCATTGCATTATTCTCCAACGAATCCACTTTAATACGTGTACCATTCATGCCCTGCTTGCATAACTGTAAATCTAAACTAACATAATACTTATCACTATTTTTACATCTGTTTAATATCCAAAGAATCACTGCTCGTTATTAAATACCATTTTGATAGCAACTTTACAGTTGTTAGGCTCGTGTCTTTAACATTATCATTAAGGCATACTTTCAACAGTCAAGCAAAGAGAAGGAAAATATCACGTGATACACACTCCACTGCAATCGTTACCTGTCAAAGCTTACACATGTACAATCTAGTTTCCATCCATGACAACCAGTGTAAGGGGACACTCGACTGCAAGCCTTCTGTAACGTATAGCGGGACAACAGGATGATGTTACAAAACGTTAAGGTCGAAAACAAACACGTACCTGTATATCGTGAGCTTTGTAAGAATCTGCAGCTCGCAGCTCATTGGTTATTTGATCATGGCGTCCAAACTGGCCGGTTACAGCTTGCAAATCATTCTTTAACTCCGTGAGTTTGTCCTGGGGAGAAAACAAAATCTCTTCATATTTCACAGATTTCTTAGATTACTTGCTTTGACTGTACAATGAATTGTAAATATTATTTTGTAATATCTGTGGGGCTTCAAAGAACTTAAATGTCTGTTAATAAACAAAATTGCAAGTAAAGTACAAGCTATATAAATCATATATTGAATACAGATGTGAATCATGTAATGTTAGTAAATTAGTGATTTGGAAGCTGCGGAGATGTTGTTTTATAGACGAATAGTGAGAATACCCTGGACCGATAAAAAGAGTAATGAAGATGTTTTGAAAGAAACTGACTCACGAAGAGAACTGATTGCCAACATCAGAAAGAGACAATCTACATTGCGATGAGTAGAAGACAGCTTGAGAACATCGTGACGGTAGGAAAGTTGGAAGGAAGGAGAGGCAGAGGGAGACCGAGTGAACAGATGCTGAATAGTTTGACATCATAATATGGAGGATCATCTGTGTCAGAGTTGACTGAAAGTACACGAGAAAGAAGATACTCGATAAATATGACTACCAACGCCACACGGCATGGACTCTAAGGGGGCGTATTGGGTTTTTAGGGCTAGATATATATTTTACAGATCAATCGGCACTTCGTTGGTGATATAGTTAACATCACGCCGGCCGCCTTTACTTCCCAGAACTTGTGCTGGGTCGACCTGAGAGCCAAAGTCATTTTTTAAAAAACGTCAGGCTCCAACAGGACCCGAACCCAGTACCTCCTGATCTGCAGCTAGCCGCTAGACCACTCTCAGTAAAAATATATGTTTCCCAGTTGTGACGAAGCTACGTCACATATCTACTTTAACGCTTGCACCCTGCTACTAGCAATTCTTCTACTGTCCAGGATTAACAAAATAACACGGCTGTCAGTTTCTTTTATACATTCTATCAGTTTTATTCCGTCTGATTCATCCCCAAAACTCCGACTATTATTCAGACACAGTCACCACTGTTTGCTTCCACAATATTACAATACTAGTCCTTCACATTGAAATTATATTTGCAAACACAGGTAAATATTACGGAAATCTCCCCAGTGTGTGTTAGCTCTGCCCATTTACGCACTAGGTCACTTTTCATTCATAGTTTGTTTGGCTCGTCAACTTTGCTAAAGGTTACGGGGGTGTCCCGGTGTACTGTTTGCTCGAAAAGCTTCTGCGTTGGCTTTCATTTACGTTTTCATTCCGAGAAAGAGAATGCGTTTGACGTAGTTTGCAACACTCTCGTAGGGCGTTTGTGTTAGGGCCAGTTCTGCGTGGTTTTGGAGCGTTAAACACGATGTCAACGGTGTCCAGTATTCCAGTCCGTCGCTGGTCTCCGCGCAAGTGGATACAAGAAAATGAAGATGTATTAGCTATGAAAGTACATAGGGCTGGGGAATTGCCTAAAGAAATGGAGAACTTTCAGAGAGCGACGTTCATGGGATCTGCTGACTGACGATGATGATTACCAAGTAGTCTACTTATAATGAACATAAATACATGGTGAATAGTCAATAAGCCCCATTTACGCAGCTTCTAGGAAGCAGGGTTCACACGGAGCAGTCGGTAGGGATCGCAAACCCAGATTTATACATTTTTCTACAATAGGGGGGGGGGGGGGGGGGGTCAGGAGTGCTAATGGCGCCTGTACAGTGACGAAGGGGTGTAAGCCAGCAAGCTGTTCGTGGAAATGTCATCAGATTCGTTAACTTAAATAAATTATCTCCCTTACTATATAGTTTGTCGGCGATTGTGGCATAGGCTTTTCGGACGCGCTTCGTAATGCCGGGGTGCCGGGTTCGATCCCAGCGGCGGACGATTCAGCAACAGACCGTCTTGCGTTAGCTTGGATATGAAACCGAGAGCTAACAGTTCAGACAGCAATGGCAAACTACTGAACGTAAAATTTGCCTAGAAAAATCACAACAGCCAAATCATGCTGAGGTGGGTTCTGCAACGCGCCTCAAAGAATACTAATATAAATTCAAAAAGCGTCCCAACATTAGACGCCCTTGTGTTATTTGCATGGCACACCCCGGTTTTTATCGGGGCCTTAATATAACCTAACGGTTGAACATGGTTTATGGGGCTTGTAACGGGGGATTTCTCCAATGGTGTCACGTGGTGTTTATTCCTGTTTGTACGGTCCTGGTGTGTTTGAACGTAACTGACACACATGTAAAGGATACCCAACCAACTTTTTTTTTTTTATCTAGACAAACGGACCTACCTTAAAGGCATCCAGCTTGGAGTTGACCCTGCCGTAAGCGTCCAGGGCCGTGTGGATCCCCAGCTCACTCTTGCTCATGTACACTTCCAACTCCGTGATCTTCTGCGTGTGCATGGAGGTTCGGATCTGCAGGTTTCTCTGCCGACGGTCCAACTCTGTGACCTGACAGGTATTCGAAAAGTGGGTTAGTTGCATTTACTGACGACAACATGTGGGGCTAGTCCCTGACCAAATACTGACATTAGAGACTGGAGAGTTCCTATTTTCACATATTCTGAATCAGTGATCTTCAACCTGCCCTCCCCCACCCCCAAGTGGGCCCATCACGTTTAAAAAAGGGGGGTGGGGGTCTAGCAATTTTGTTTGACTGAGTGTATTTTTCTGTTAATAATATATTATGTTAACATTAATTTTTTCTGTTTAATTGTACATTAAATTTAGCAGTCATTACAAAACAGCACTGCCAATTTCACATAGAGAGTTGTTGCTTGTCCCATATCAGTACAAAACTAGCAGACAACACAGTGTCAACCACCACACTAATATTTGCATACTACATGGCTATTGGGTGGAAAAGATCTAAAAACAATAAAGAAAATGTATTGACAGCAAATAGCAGCTATAGGTATTAATAACTGTTTAGGTACATTTCAGAGGATAAAGAAGGGCGTACGACAAACTACAGGAAATGATAGGCATTGTGGTGGTAGAAAGTGGAAGAATGGGCCTCTGGAGACAGTCATCATTTTTCGGCCATGTTATGAGAAGAGGAAAAAGGAAACATGTTGTGACCACTGTAAAGATCTGTGAAAGGAAGGATACAGGAAGACAACTAGAGAAGATGCTTGACAGTCTTGTTGCATGGCATGGAGGTGTGTCAGCACACGAACTGACACATGCTGCAGGCGATCGCAGATTGTGGAGAGGCATGATCGCCCACGCCAGTCGACAAGGCACCTGATGATGATGATGAGATGACCAGTTGCTGGTGATTTTTTCTTGTATATTATTTAACATTTTAATTTATGTGGATGTTTTCTTCCAAGTTCCTGACATTTTTCACTGTGTCCTTTTCTTTTTAATCCCTGTATATTATATGTCGAATACCACAACCTAGTAGACGGAAATACAATTAGACTATACCAGTGGTTCTCAACCTGTGGGTCACGACTCTTTTGTGGGTCGAACGACCCATTCACAGTGGTCGCCCAAGAGCATCAGAAAATATATATTCACTGAATTTATGAAGTAGCAACGAAAACAATTTTAGGGTCAGGGGTCGCCACAACATGAAGAACTCTATTAGAGGGTCGTGGCATTAGCAAGCTTCAGAACCACTGGTCTACATAATTTAAAATGGTGAGTAAATGCCGAGTATCTTTTTCTACCCCTTCGAACGTATTGGGCATATAGGGCTAAACCTATATTTTATGCACCAATGGGTACTTGGTGGGTGATGTGTCCAACATCACGCCGGCCGCCTCTACTTCCCAGGACTTTACCTCGTACCTATGTAAAGCTGGTGCGACCTGGAAGCAAATGTTATTTTCTGAGGGAAAAAAGAGTTTGGTTCTGCCAGGATCTGAACCTGCTACCTTCGGATCTGCAGGCGAGCATGGGTGAGTGAACAATAGGCACGATTTCTTTCTTTATGTCTGTTTTTTCCCTTACCATCACCCCTACTACCACTACAACCACTTCTCTGCCACTACCATCACCACAACCACCACCCCTACTACCACTACAACCACTTCTCTGCCACTACCATCACCACAACCACCACCCCTACTACCACTACAACCACTTCTCTGCCACTACCATCACCAAAACCACCACCCCTACTACCACTACAACCACTTCTCTGCCACTACCATCGCCACAACCACCACCCCTACTACCACTACAACCACTACTCTGCCACTACCATCACCACAACCACCACCCCTACTACCACTACAACCACTTCTCTGCCACTACCATCACCACCACCCCTACTACCACTACAACCACTTCTCTGCCACTACCATCACCACAACCATCACCCCTACTACCACTACAACCACTTCTCCGCCACTACCATCGCCACAACCACCGCCCCTACTACCACTACAACCACTACTCTGCCACTACCATCACCACAACCACCACCCCTACTACCACTACAACCACTTCTCCGCCACTACCATCACCACAACCAGTACCACTACAACCACTTCTCCGCCACTACCATCACCACAACCACCACCCTACTACCACTACAACTACTTCCGTCACCACAACCACCACCCCTACTACCACTACAACCACTTCCATCACCACAACCACCACCACTACTACCACTACAACCACTTCCATCACCACAACCACCACAACTACTACCACTACAACCACTTCCATCACCACAACCACCACTACTACTACCACTACAACCACTTCCATCACCACAACCACCACCCCTACTACCACTACAACCACTTCTCCGCCACTACCATCACCACAACCACCACCCCTACTACCACTACAACCACTTCTCCGCCACTACCATCACCACAACCAGTACCACTACTACTAGCGTTACTGATGGCTGTGAACTCCGATATTTGTGGGTAGTTAAGGCTGGGCGGTAATATTCTTTTCCAACGTCGCAACCCACTGGAGCATAGGGTCTCAGGTAACTCATGATATCTCATACGACTTGCTGTCTCATACAGCTGTCTGCGTGTCTCTTTCTTTGTTTTCTGATTGACTGACTTTCTACCCCACCAGGACATCACACAAGCGATTAAAACCAGATGACACAAAGTGCCACCATGTGGATGAGGATCACCGTTTAGAGGTCCCAGAAACCGCGTTCAGACAACTGGCCATACTTATGGCCTGCCTATATTGTGGGCCCTGGGGCTTCAAATAAGAACATATTTTGCCATAAAAAGGACAAAACTGGGTAATGTACACGAACCCCTGTGTTTTCTGTCGTTACAATTTACTGGTTAGTACGAGGGAAGGTCAAAAAGTAATGCCTCTTTTTTTTTTTTTTTTTTTAATCTACGTGAATACTTAGAAAGTCAGTATTTATGTTCTTGTAGACGTAACAAGTAAAAACGTAACATTATATAACTGTAAGAGAAACATCACCAAGAAATTAAGTAACTGAACATCTATAACCTTATCGTCCATCTTGACCACTTCAGAGCGGACTCTGGTCAGCTCGGAGTCACTCATGACGTTGTAGTTTTCAAGGGCCATAACCTGTTTACGAACAAAAGCAGAAGTCAGTGTATTGCTGAGAGTTAATGTCAAGAAATCGGTTGTTTGAGAGTGAGATCGTTCCTGCGTTTCTTGCAGTCAACAGTCTACTGAAGTCAGGGATTTCATTTAGTCAGAAGTTAATTATAGACATTAGTTAAATACAGTGGGCGTTAAAAAGAAAACAATGAGTTAAATATAGTCACCGTTAAATATTCCTTTGATTAAAGCCAGATTTAAACCCCTAATTAGTAGCCTTTTGCGACATGCTTGTTAGAGGTAGTTGGTCTATATTTTTGTTTTTCAAATATGGGGCACCAGAACCCACACGGGGGACGGGGGGGGGGGGGGGAAGAAGCATTAAATTTAATTTTTTTTTTTTTTTTGTTAAACAATTTTTTCAAATGTCTGATCAAATGCTAAAATTTTTCAAAATATTAGGCTATCATTGGTTGAGCGTTAACCAATAAAAACCGCAGGTGATAAACAAAAGAACACTCTAGTCAACACTTCACAATAGTACACAAAGCATAGCACGATACCTACCTTCTGTTCTAGTGTGCTCAAAATACGGTACATGTCGTAGAAAGCCACGTTGTGCATTGTCGTTGTTTGTGGTGGTCGAGTTGTTGGCACTTGCTCCCTGTCCACGTCGCCACTGCCTTCTGTGTCCAAATGCTGTAGGAAATTCATTCATGCAGAACTGTTTGACATTGTACGGACGGTAACAACAGCGACGGTAGTGGTGGTGGTAGTGGTGGTGGTAGTGGTGGTGGTGGTGGTGGTGGTGGTTGTGGCGGTGGTAGTGGTGGTGGTAGTGGTGGTGGTTGTGGCGGTGGTAGTGGTGGTGGTGGTGGTGGTGGTGGTGGTGGTAGTGGTGGTGGTAGTGATAGTGGTGGTAGTGGTGGTGGTTGTGGCGGTGGTAGTGGTGGTGGTGATGGTAGTGGTGGTGGTAGTGGTAGTGGTGGTAGTGGTGGTGGTAGTGGTGGTGGTAGTGATGGTGGTAGTGATGGTGGTAGTGGTGGTGGTAGTGGTAGTTGTGGTGGTAGTGGTGGCGGTAGTGGTGGTGGTAGTGGTGGTGGTAGTGGTGGTGGTGGTGGTGGTGGTGGTTGTGGTGGTGGTGGTGGTAGTGGTGGTGGTTGTGGCGGTGGTAGTGGTGGTGGTGGTGGTAGTGGTGGTGGTAGTGGTAGTGGTGGTGGTAGTGGTAGTGGTAGTGGTGGTGGTAGTGGTTGTGGTAGTGGTAGTTGTGGTGAATAATGATGACATCGATGTTCATGATGGTTGTAAGGATGATGGTGATGGTGCTTGTGGTGATAATGATGACATCGATGTTCATGATGGTTGTAAGGATGATGGTGATGGTGCTTGTGGTGATAATGATGACATCGATGTTCATGATGGTTGTAAGGATGATGGTGATGGTGCTTGTGGTGATAATGATGACATCGATGTTCATGATGGTTGTAAGGATGATGGTGATGGTGCTTGTGGTGATAATGATGACATCGATGTTCATGATGGTTGTAAGGATGATGGTGATGGTGCTTGTGGTGATAATGATGACATCGATGTTCATGATGGTTGTAAGGATGATGGTGATGGTGCTTGTGGTGATAATGATGACATCGATGTTCATGATGGTTGTAAGGATGATGGTGATGGTGATGGTGATGGTGATGGTGATGGTGATGGTGATGGTGATGGTGATGGTGATGGTGATTATGATGGTGATGGTGATGATGATGGTGATGGTGATGGTGATGGTGATGATGATGGTGATGGTGATGGTGATGGTGATGGTGATGGTGATGGTGATGGTGATGGTGATGGTGATGGTGATGGTGATGGTGATGGTGATGGTGATGGTGATGGTGATGGTTGTAAGGATGGTGATGGTGATGGTGATGGTGATGGAATTGTGAAGATGATGAAGATGCTACTGATTGCAGCGATGATGACGACAATGATGAGGAGGATAATGATGATGATGGTTGTGTCGTGGTGGTGGTGGTGTGTCGTGGTGGTGTGTCGTGGTGGTGGTGGTGGTGTGTCGTGGTGGTGTGTCGTGGTGGTGTCGTGGTGGTGGTAACGATGTTGCTCATGGTGATAGCGACCATGCTGATACTGACATCTACGAAGATGATGATCATAATGGTGATGGTAGTGGTAGTGTTGATAATTACTCTGCATTTATGGGTAGAATACAACATGAAAGTGGAAACATCAGGAGGCAGCGAAGCATCTACAATAAGATGGATCAAGGGTGAAATGGGGTATAGGTATAACGTAAGGTGTTAACTGATTGACAGAACTGGGGAAGTCCCTTGAGTGAGAGACATGAGATTAATGCGGAAATGGTAAAACACGAGATGGTTGAACTCACGTGTGAACACGAAGTGTGGGGGAATCGCTGACTAGTGAGTGATTATGTGACAAGACCCCAGAGAGTTCGTAGTGAAAGTCGACTCTGACTGAAACGAAGTGAGTGTTGATATTGAATGGTTATTTAGTGATTGTAGTAAAGCCACGCTGAAATGTATGTGAGGACAATGGAAGTGTCCTACTGACTGTTGACCGAACTGACCGTGTGCAGGTTCGTGTCGACCTTGGCATGGCTGTATACCCAAAGTTGTGAGAACAAGTGAACCTTACCTGGATGACGTAGGTGAGGTTGTTATGTTGATGTTGGTTGCTGATATGATATTGAATGACATTGAATAAAGCTGGAATTGTCAACAACCATCGTCGATTGTCCTTTGGAGACGTGTGGTAGTTTGTTGGGAGAGAAGTCTGCCTCGTCTACTCTGTGGATATGAGCCACTTGACCACGGCCTGGGTCGAGTGAGTAAGTACGAGAGAGACCCAGTACAAACGGAATGCAGACGCTCCTCTACATAGGGCAGTATTTCCCAACGTTGAGCCCACACCCCACAGGAGGGCAATTCGACTTAAGGTGGAAAAAGGGGGGGGGGCAATTTGATTGTTAAGGGGGCAATTCCAAAATGGACTCGTCCAGAAATTAAGTTACACGGGGAACATAAGAATTCTATAAAGTCTTAGAACGGTTATGGCACAAAACAGGTTGAGAATCACTGACTTATAACCTGAGACTTCACAACATCACAGTATACCAAGCAAGCAAGTGCGCCCTGGTTCGGCTACCTATCATCTGTAAAACTTCAACTCCTTACTGTACAAAGCAGATACTGATAAAAGACAGAAGAATAATCTGCCGCAGACAAAGTACTCAAATACTTACTACTTCAAATATTTGTGAATCGTTCGTTGCCGGTAGAAATCCTTCCTTTTTGTTGAGAATATGAGATGAAATGTCTGGCTCCGACTTGTTATCTGTTGGGTCCGCTTGTGGCTCCATACCATAGCCTCTAGCAAAGTTCAGCATGGAATTCTCTAGAGTTTCAAGTCTCAAGTCCATGGAGATGACGATGGAACGTAGACTCTCCAACTCTCTGGGAAGCATACTTGACTAATTACATTTAGACTTGTTTACATCATTTGGTTAGTCAAGTCATACAGGGTCTGGTCGACCCTCCGTAGCCAAGTGGTCAAGTCATACAGGGTCTGGTCGACCTTCCGTGGCCAAGTGGTTAAGTCATACAGGGTCTGGTCGACCCTTCGTGGCCAAGTGGTCAAGTCGTTTGCCCTGAGCTCTGAAGGTCGTGGGTTCATTTTCCGGCGGCGTCATTCAGTTCTCGAGTGCAATTTTTAAGATCCTTGTGGATAGTCGCTGGAGCTGCGGGGGTTCTGTGTGACAGTCTCAGCCAGACAGCTAGCGGTTCTGTGGAGATTGACTGGGCCACATGGGATAAAACCTGGTGCAATGAAGGCGATCCTCTCACTTTTACTTTTATCTTCTTGTTTTAGCTTTCTTTTTTCTTTTTTTTTTTTTTTTCATTTGCAGTTTACCTGTTGCTTAATGTTCAGGTTTATTTCTCTTAATAATATGAATTAAAATCTTCTTCTTCTTCTTCTTATTCTTCTTCTTCTTCTTCTTCTTCTTCTTCTTCTTCTTCTTCTTCTTCTTCTTCTTCTTCTTCTTCTTCTTCTTCTTCTTCTTCTTCTTCTTCTTCTTCTTCTTCTTCTTGACAGTCTGTGCTAGTGTCTGTCTCTCGTGTAGGCTGTAGCTGAATAGACTAGGTGTGTTCATATTTGTACAGCTAGAAGCACACTAAGCAGATATTTTTCTGACAACAGTCCACAATTTAGGGCACAGCTTTTAGACAAACATAATTTCGTGACACGGTAATTCAGTCTACTAGCAAGCCATAGGTCAAACTAAGCCCTTTTCATGGATCATCATCATGATCATTTTCATCAACATCATCATCATCCCATAACACTACATGTCGTTGGGTCACCAGTTTCTGTTGACTGTCTGATCAGTTCTCTCCACCTTTTGTCGGTCAGTAGCGATGGACTTCATGGTTGCTTGGCTGAGGCCTGTCCAGTCATCAGGTTCTGTAACCAGGTCTTTCTTGGTCTGCCTCTTCTCCTCTTTCCCTCCACTGAGCCCTGCAGTATTGTTTTTGAGAGGCCGTTAGATTTTAGTACATGTCCATACCATTGCATTTTTCGACTTTTCACTGTAGTTAAAAGTGGTTCGCAGTTGCCAATGCCCTGTACAATTTAAAGCGAAGCTCTTCGTTTGTAATGTGGTCTCTGTATGATATGCTAATAAATTTTCTGAAACATCGCATTTCTAATGTTTGTATCTTTCTTTCGAGTTCAGCTGTTAAGGTCCACGTTTTTCAACCATGTGTAAATATACTAATAGTTGGTGCTCTGAGCAATCGAATCTTAGTTTTGCATGAAACGTTTTTGGATCTCCATAATGTTTGCTGCTTGGCAAGGACTGAGGTTGTCTGGGTAATCTTAGACATGATTATCAGAGATACGGACATTCATTATTACATTTAACACTGTAGGACACACCTTCACACTTCAGCAGACACACTGATGTGAAATCTCTGGTGTACAGAGAGCATTGCTATGCACAGAAGAATGTATGTGGCAATTACAGAATAGTTCGTGAAAATATTGTGTGAATGTTGTATGTGTGGGAATGCGTGTGAATATTTATATGTATGTATATATTCATTTATTGTCTCATTATCTTGTTGTGCCATTATATGCCACATAGGGCACCCAGTCTATTCCTCTGTTCCGTTCTATCCCATTCACTATCACGGATGCAATCTTGTCAAACAGCTTTGGCCTCTCTCCTCAACGTTCGTCTAAATGTTTCTTGTGGGCTTTCTTGGGGTTTCAGTTAGGCGGCCAGTAGCAGATAAAAGAGTGGACGTCCCTTATATACTCAGGGAGATCGAACTGGAAACATTTAGAAGGAGGTGTAGGCATTATGATGACACCAGAGCAGCGGAATGTCAGCTAGAATAGGAACGTTTCAGGCAAAACAATTAGAGCTAGGTTTAGTATGAGACATATTAAAGTGACCATCATTCGATGTTTATATATATATGTGTGTGTGTGTGTATGTGTGTGTGTGTGTCTGTATGTGTGTGTGTGTGTGCGTGTGACCAAAAAAGGAGCGACAGAGCTCAACACAATTTCTTAAAATAGCATTCTGGGAAAGCGTATAACATCTCACCGGTTTATGCAAAATAGAAAGGTCGAATGTGAACATTTAGTTTATTACATATCACACATGCGTGAAGGAAAGAGGCGAGCGACACAGAAGACGAAAGAATCAAACCAAGCACGTTTACAGTGAATGTTCTAAAGGGGGGTAAGGGATTGAGAACGAGGCATCATATATCACATTAGTGAAAGAGAGTTGAGAGTGTGAGAAACCGAAAGAATCAAAGAACATACAGAAGCAATGTTCTAATGAGAATATTCAGGGGTAAGGCAGTACAAACCATAGTGTGAACAACAGGCGACAGCTTGAGAAAACGAAAGGCTGAAACCAAAAACGTTTAGGTGGAATGTACAACTTGCCATATTACCCTTCTACAAACCACTAACCGTCTTCACCTGATTGCCATCGTCTCGAAGTGCACAAGAGCTGGGATCAGCAGGTCATAAACTGAAGGATCAAACTTGGCCAGTTCGCTGTCGGAGAAGGTAGAAAATATCTCGTGCACTCCGTGTACAGATGCTTTTCCAACAGTCGAAGTCTTGTTTGACGGAACATCTGCTTCTCTCCTGCTTCTCTTAAAAGACTTTAAATATCTTGGAGTCTGAAGATTTGAACTGGGGGATTCATCGCGAAATAAATCTACAAACCTCGGGTAATGTCTGATATCATCATCATCAACGGCGTTTTTGTCTAAATAGTTCACTTCTTTTGTGTCTGTTAAATCTTGGCCGTTCATTTCATAATTGGTTTGCATCTTATCCAGCTGCAACCAGTCTTTCCAACGAACAAACACATTATCATTTTGCTGTCGAAAATACTTCATGAAAGCTTTAAGCTGTTCTTCGCTTCGATTCACGTAATCAGAATTATCCGAAATCTCTGCTAAATCCTCCTTTCCTTTTCTAAAATAGTTGACTGGATCCAACGGCGGTCTTTTGAAAAACCGAAGACCGAAATACGTTTTGTCTCTGTCTTCATTTTGCCAGACATTACTAGAGGTGTAAGCGACCTGTTCATTCTCTGTTCCCAGTAATTTATTTTGTAAATTAGCGTAATCTGGGTTAACTTGATGGTCAGTAAAATCAGAAAATTGATTTCCAGAACTGTGGGCAACATCGTGCGCAATTTGGCGTTGATTTTTGAACATGTCCGTATTTGAAAGCTGTAAAATCAGAACAAACAACAAAATGGCATTGCTAAATAATGCCACCACTAGAGCAGCACTCAAAACAACCTGCGAGGTCATGATGTAATGATCGTCTTCAATCTGCCAGATGGTGTTTCTGCAGCAGCGGCCATACTTGCTAGTGAGCTAGAAAAAGTGAACGGAGTTACTCATGCAGGTCTGCGCCGGAAGACGCTTCTGAACTGGTGACACACGATCAGTTGGTACAAGTTACCACACTGCACTAGGCTGTTTAAGTGGAGCGGCATGTTCGCGGTAGACTAGGACATATCCTTGGGTAAATATAGTCATTGTGGTAGGTTTGTAGGGGCATTACTGCAGCCAACATACAGCACAGTCATATAGTAACAGTTCGACATTATAGTTTCTGCATTTTAAACCGGGCCCTGGAATGGGTTTGTTAGCTTTATGCCTGTTTGGCTGGTGCTTCTGCAGTTTGCTGACTAGTTTTTTGTTTGGCTGATGCTCTGGTTATTCTTGTTTGATTGGTTGGCTGGTTGTTAGATTAAGATGGTTGGTTAGTTAATTGACTCGTCATTGGGCTGTTGTTTGAATGATCAGTTTGAATGATTTGTTGCTACGTGACAGTGATTAGTTGATTAACTGGCTGATTGGCTAGATTGTTGATTGGTTGATCAGTTGACTGTTTAGATTGCTGATTATTTGGATTGTTGATTGGCCTGTCGGCTAAGGGGGGGGGGGGGGCGGAAAAGGGGGGGAGGTAATTAGTTAATTAACTCGTAGTTGGTTGATTAATTTGCTGCTTGATTGGTTTATTGGTGACTTGATTGTTGAACTTGATGATTGTTTGGTTGGCTGGACGGTTAGTAGGCTAGATGACTGAGTATCCGCTGGAAAAAAGTGTGTTTTAGTTCTTGAATCCAGTGCGTTGAAACTGGCTGACATCTTTAGCAACGAAGCAACATATCCACTCAGTGCTGTACAGCATAGCACACTCTTCCACCAAGTTCCCTCTTCATCCAACTCAGCTCCCTGTTCCACCCACTCAGGCCCTCTTCCACCCACTCAGCTCCCACTTCCACCCACTCAGCTCCCTCTTTCACCCACTCAGCTCCCTCTTACGCCCACTCAGCTCCCTCTTCCACTCACTCAGGTCCCTCTTCCACGCACTCTGCTCCCTCTTCCACGCACTCTGCTCCCTCTTCCACCAACTCAGCTCCCTCTTCCACCCACTCAGCTCCCTCTTTCACCCACTCAGCTCCCTCTTACGCCCACTCAGCTCCCTCTTACGCCCACTCATCTCCCTCTTCCACCCACTCAGCTCCCTCTTCCACCCACTCAGCTCCCTCTTCCACCCACTCAGCTCTCTGTTCCACCCACTCAGCTCCCTGTTCCACCCGCTCAGCTCCCTCTTCCACCCGCTCAGCTCCCTCTTCCACCCACTCAGCTCCCTCTTCCACCCGCTCAGCTCCCTCTTCCACCCACTCAGCTCCCTCTTCCACCCGCTCAGCTCCCTCTTCCGCCCACTCAGCTCCCTCTTTCACCCACTCAGCTCCCTCTTTCGCCCACTCAGCTCCCTCTTACATCCACTCAGCTCCCTCTTCCACCCACTCAGCTCTCTGTTCCACCCACTCAGCTCCCTGTTCCACCCGCTCAGCTCCCTCTTCCACCCGCTCAGCTCCCTCTTCCACCCGCTCAGCTCCCTCTTCCACCCGCTCAGCTCCCTCTTACACCCGCTCAGCTCCCTCTTTCGCCCACTCAGCTCCCTCTTTCGCCCACTCAGCTCCCTCTTTCGCCCACTCAGCTCCCTCTTTCGCCCACTCAGCTCCCTCTTACATCCACTCAGCTCCCTCTTTCACCCACTCAGCTCCCTCTTCCACCCGCTCAGCTCCCTCTTCCACCCGCTCAGCTCCCTCTTCCACCCACTCAGCTCCCTCTTCCACCCACTCAGCTCCCTCTTCCGCCCACTCAGCTCCCTCTTTCACCCACTCAGCTCCCTCTTTCGCCCACTCAGCTCCCTCTTACATCCACTCAGCTCCCTCTTTCACCCACTCAGCTCCCTCTTACGCCCACTCAGCTCCCTCTTCAACCCACTCAGCTCCCTCTTCCTCCCACTCAGCTTCCTCTTCCACCCACTCAGCTTCCTCTTCCACCCACTCAGCTTCCTCTTCCACCCACTCAGCTTCCTCTTCCACCCACTCAGCTTCCTCTTCCACCCACTCAGCTCCCTCTTCCCCTCCCTCAGCTCCCTCTTCCACCCACTCAGCTCAGAAGAGAGCGGAAGATACAAGACTATGTACAGGCATTTCATCTTGAGGCATCGATGATGTGAATTTTCAGAAGAATCCTTAGAATTCCTTGGACAGCCAGAAAGAGCAACCCAGATGTTTTGAAAGAGGCTAGTTCTCGGAAACAACCTATTACAAACATCAGAAAAAGACAGTCATCATTTCCTTTGGGGGGTCATGTTATGAAGGAACATGCAGCATGTTGTGACCACCGGAAAAATCTGTGGTAAGAGAGACGGAGGAAGTCAACGCGAGAAGATTTTAGACGGCCTTTTGTCGTGTCACAGAAGGGTGTCAACACACGAACTAAAGCACGCAGCTGCGGATCGCAGATTATAGAAAGGCATTATCGCCCATGCCTGTCAGCAAGACACTTGATGATGATGATAATGATGCTGATGATGATGGTGATGATGATGGTGGTGATGTACAAGCAGCTCACATCCAGAAAAAGCAAGGACATCGTTGTTCAGATCTTACAGTAAACCAAGTCCTTGAACGTTGAAGAGATCTGAAGTGTTTCCATCTGGTAAGTTGTGTATTTTTAAAAAGAGTCTCAAAAACAAACGTTTCGATAAACAAGCATTGGGCAGTGAGGTTACAATCATAAGTCGGTGCACTTTTGTTTCTCTGGGGTGCACACAGTATGTCACGAATGCATGTTCGTTAGTGTTATTTTGCTGCTGCTGCTGTTGCTGCTACTGCTGCTACCACCACTACCACCACCACTACTACTACTTTTGCTGTGGCTGAATATATAATAAAGCTGTTTCTGTTACTTTTACTACTATTGCTACTGCTGCTGCTGCCACTACTTCTACTACCACTACCGCTCCTATCAGAGCTACCTTTACTACCACTACTACTTTGACCACCACTGTCGCTACATTAACACCACCACTTCTAAGCAACCACTATCACTACTACTACTACTAGCACCACCATCCTCACCGTCACTACTACTACGACCACTACTGTAGCCACAATAACCAGATCACCAGGTTATTTGTAATTCAGTCTGCACAAACATTAAACATATACCACGCCAATAAAACAACAAAAACAGACTATAACGACATGTAAACATAGAGACATACAAGAGTGGAATGAACCACTTCAGCTCACTTATCCTATTTCCTTCTCCCCCAGCCAAGAGTCGTTGAGGAAATGCCTCTTCGCTGAACTTTAAATGACTTCTTTCCATCCACACTGGCTCTGGTCAACTTTCCAGTGACAGACGGAGAGGCATGGGTCAAAGGAATCAATCAAAGTATATCCAGATGTGGCTAGAATGGTCACAAAGGGGGAAATGCACAGATACATTATCCAACGTTCGGGGGGGGGGGGGCCTTGGGTTGGGGGGGTCGTGGTAATCTTACTTAAGCAGCAACCACATACGGGAGTTCGATGCTGCTGTTACGGCTGCTGCTACTAACACCACTACTACTCTACTACTACCACCACCGCCGCCACCGCCACTGCTACTACTACTAATACTACTACTACTACTACTACTACTACTACTACTACTCTACTACTACTACCACCGCCGCCACCGCCACTGCTGCTACTACTACTACTACTACTACTACTACTACTACTACTACTACTACTACTACTACTACTACCACCACCGCCGCCACCGCCACTACTACTACTACTACTACTACTCTACTACTACCACCACCGCCGCCACCGCCACTGCTACTACTACTAATACTACTACTACTACTACTACTACTACTACTACTACTACTCTACTACTACTACCACCGCCGCCACCGCCACTGCTGCTACTACTACTACTACTACTACTACTACTACTACTACTACTACTACTACTACTACTACTACTACTACTACCACCACCGCCGCCACCGCCACTACTACTACTACTACTACTACTACTACTACTACTACTACTACTACTACTACTACTACTACTACTACTCTACTACTACTACCACCGCCGCCACCGCCACTGCTGCTACTACTACTACTACTACTACTACTACTACTACTACTACTACTACTACTACTACTACTACTACTACTACTACCACCACCGCCGCCACCGCCACTACTACTACTACTACTACTACTACTACTACTACTACCACCACCGCCGCCACCGCCACTACTACTACTACTACTACTACTACTACTACTACTACTACTACTACTACTACTACTACTCTACTACTACTACCACCGCCGCCACCGCCACTGCTGCTACTACTACTACTACTACTACTACTACTACTACTACTACTACTACTACTACCACCACCGCCGCCACCGCCACTACTACTACTACTACTACTACTACTACTACTACTACTACTACTACTACTACAACCAACACCGCTGCCACCACCACCACTACTACTACCACCGCCACCATTACTACTCCTACCACCACCACCACCGCCTGCAGGGGCGTCGGAACCTCGGTAATTTAATCGGTAACGGAGGGGGGTGGGGAACAAAGCCAGACTAACTTTTTATCTGCGATATACACTAGTACAAGTACCGTCACCTCTTATTAACAATGATACTTGTACTTTTAAGCAGTACTATAATCATCTATTTGTGTTGAGTTGTGTTGTGTTGTTGTTTTTTTTAGACGCTTCGACTGCCGGCATATTTTCTTTTAAAAAAAAAAAAAAAAGCTCTATTAACGGGAATCTCCGGAGTAAGAGGAAATGAACGAGCGGACTGGCTTGCTATCAGGCCACAGTAAGCACGGAAAAAGTAATGGTTCTGGTCGATGTTTGTAAAGCTTTCAGGGAGAGAGTGAACAGATTATTCAAGAGTCGGTGGTGAATCTGCTATTTTGACAAGAATACAAAAAAAAAAATCATATCAAAAGAGTTGGTACTTTCCCGAAACTCCCCCCACGCTTTCCTTCCACGATGACGTCACGGGACAGTCCAATATTTTAGAGGGTGCTAAGAGCGGTTTTCCCGGCTTTCTGATGCTTTTAACTACCTTAAAACATCTAGAACCGGACCTAACCTCAACCCACCTACGTCACATGAGTGTAGCTTAGGTCCCACGGCTGCATGCAGCCTATCTACCACACTCTAAAATATTCGACTGTCTCTTTTGGGGAATATAACGGAGGGGGGGGGGCATTGAGATAGAACCAACGAGGTGCTGCCAGACATGAACACTATACAGGTAGCCAAAGAAAAATAGTAAAATAAAAGGTGCTTTCCTAATATCCTACCCTAAACAGGGAAAATCCACAGGTCATGGGACAGTCTAATATTTCAGGGTGTGGTAGAAAGGCTGCACGCAGTCGTGGGACCTGGGCTGCACGCATTTGTGGGACCTAGGCTCCACTCTTTCGTGGGATGTAGGTGGGTTAGGGTTAGGACCAGTTATAGATGTTTTGGGGTCGTTAAAAGCATCAGAAAGCCGGGAAACCCAGTCTTACCACCCTCTAAAATGTTGGACTGTCCTGTGACGTCATCTGGGGTAAGATATTAGTAAAGAACCAAACAATACAGAACGGATGTTATCAGTCGGCATACGCCAAGGGAGATATTGACGATAGGATTCCAGCGCTTTTGGACTTTTTACATGTACAGTGAGTATGATCGGTCGACGAACATACATCCGATTTCAGCGAATCCGTATTGGTCGTCTTGTTTACTTATTACTGACTTAAGAATCGACATCATAGCACACCGGGCATACCCATAGATGCTCCGTCTCCCGCAGCAAATGACGTAAGGTGAAGATCCTAACCGTTCCTTATCACACTGACTTTACACACGCCGAACTCTTCCTCTCATCCGCCACTCCTTGCTGGATTCACACTTAATTCCTCATCACACATTTTTGCCCATGTTAGTTCTTCTAATCTCGTGTCTTCTGCCAAAAGTCATTCATATATATTATATGGTCTTCAGAATATCTCCCTTGTCCATTACGATTGTTTCAGTAGCTTTCGCTTTTTATGGCCAGAAAATCCGCTCTTTCATTTCCTGGCACTCCTACATACCCGGACAGTATATCCACGCGATTCCCTGCAATGTTGGCGTTCTGTTGCCACATTAGTCCATTATGAACCTTCAGCAATGCCAACTGAGAATCAGACACAATAATTCTTCTAGTAATTTTGTTTTCTGCTATCCACTTCAGAACTGCAGTGATGGCTACCACTTTCATTCTAATGCTTAAAGTAGTAGATAAAAAAAAATATTTAAAAAAAACACCGTGTTTTTTTCTGCGACTATTTTTTTCCTTAATTCTAGCCGAAAATGAAGATTAGGTCGTATTTCATGGAAACAAAAGCTATCAAATACAGAGGTACTGAGGAAATTGGGAATGAAAAGAGAGTTGCTAGGTGACATAAAAAAGAGACAAGTGAAATATTTTGGCCACATTAAAAGACATAACAGTATTGCAAAGATCATCCTAGAGGTAAAGGTTCAAGGTAGGCGAGCAAAAGGCAGACAGCGTTACAAGTGGGAGGATAACGTCAAGAGATAGACGAACAGCAGTATGAGTGAGTGTACATCAAGGGCAAGAGACAGGGCTTGTTGGAGATCCATGGCAGCCAACCTTGATTGTGGAGACGGCACCTGATTGATTGATTGAGCCGAAAATCCACAGCTAGATCTTACACCTCGGTGAACAAAACCATCGGTGTACCTGCATCCTCTAGTCAAGCCTTTCTATCTATCAGTTGTGGTACCTCTAATTCTGCCATATAGTTAAACCACTCTCTACATTCTCTTCTTAACGTGATAATGACCTGATGGAAACTGCTGTTGTGGGTGTTCGTTTCGATCCGTACCTATATATTTGCTTGACTGAGGGCATGAATTTAATGAAGAAGAAGCAAAAGGGGGATGAACAGACCAACTTCCCCTTAGCAAAACCAACTAGTAAAAGACGACTAAATAAAGACTTGCTGAAATCGGATGTGTTAACGGAAAAGCCACATCGAATTAAGCCTGCTTGCTGTTCTATATTCTTCTTCTTCCTGCTCACCGGCTGTAAATTCTGGCGGAAAGTCCTGGTTTTTCGTCCATTTTGACTATATTTTATTCCATGTTAAAATCGCAGCCAGGTTTTGCCGAGACCAAGATGGAGGGACATAACTCTGAGGCAAAGTGCCATTGATCAACATGCTGTGTACCTGTGTCTGTCCCGTCTTGTTCTCTTTCTCACGATCTCTTCAAGTGACATTTACCAGCCGTGCTACCGTTGTATCATTATAGTTTAACAGATAATAAATCAGGTAATGAGGGACAGTTAACTTTCGTTACAGTTTTCAATTTGTATACTATACTAATTACTATATTTGGCCCAGGGTCGACCCAGCCTGAGTGCAGTCCCGGGAAGTAAAGGCGGCCGTCGGTGATGCTGATTGTGTCGATTGGTCTATAAAATATTGGTCTTGCCCTATACGCCTAAAGGCGTGGAAAAGGACCTTTTACTTTTTAAATATTTGAGCATGTATTGTATTTGTTATTGTAACTACCATGATATTGTGGCAAGGTTGGTATTGGTTGAGTTTGAAATGAGAGTCTGAAGTGAAGTCTGACTGACGCTGACGCCAGTTTCCAACTGTCGTTTTAACGTTTTTAGTTTTTTTTTCATGTTCATACGCAATCACACACATCAGTATGCAGCTTCTTCAACTCCATTTCTTGAAGCTGCCCTAAGCAAGTAATGTTAATTAATACTATTTAAATATTTTCTCATCCAGTGGGTTCCAAGGCTGTGGTAATGATGGTGGGGTGGGCATAGACCCACAGGACAGTCCCCTGCTACACTAACCTTAACTTTATGGTGAACAAGTATACTATTAGATCTATAGGAAGGTTAAGGCTATGCTATAAGGACATGTGTATGCAAATGTGACCTAAAAGTTAAAAGATACTAACATTGACACAGGCACTTGGGAGAGATCAGCTGCAGACTGGATCCTATAGAAGCAGGCAGTAAAAAGATAGACTGTCGCAGTTCAAAAAAGGCAAAATGCAGCAAGCTATAGAGAAAAGACATCTGAGCGAAACCCAGCCTCAGAACGCTAGAGCATCAACGTTTTTATGTGGCAGAGATTATCACTCCCGCATCAGACTTTACAGTCATACCTGACAGAGGGCTGCGTGGTCTCGAGGCATGGTGTCCGCCTCGAGTGCTATAGATTCCAGGTTCAATCCCGGGTAAGGGCTTGGATTTTTCCATGTGGACTTGGACTTTTAGTTATTTTCCATTGTCTCTGGGTAGTGAGATCCGACGCCCGTGTGTATTGTTGCACACATAAAATCCCCTTGGTAGTTGGAAATCAAAAATAGTAGCCTAACGGTGCTGCCCGGGCAAAATCTGGAGTTAAAAATTTACCTACAGTATTTCAGGATCCTTGCCGGTGGTACAGAGCCTGTGCACTGTGCTGAGCTTCTTTGGACTCAGATTTGAGTTAGAAGAACGGAGCACTTATGGGTTACTACCCGTGTGCCATGATGTTGGTCCGTTGTTTAAACCTCAAACAGTCACACCAGACGCTCTTCCTAAAACTAATGGCACAACTACGTGGTCACTAGGGATTAAGGATTGCCTACATGTAACACTAAAGATTACCTACATGTAACACTAAAGATTGCCTACATGTAACACTAAAGATTGCCTACATGTAACACTAAAGATTGCCTACATGTAAAACTAAAGATTGCCTACATGTTTTTGCACCAACTTAAACCTCACTAGATGTCAAACTACAGAGAGGCCTACATGAAAAACTGAAGCCAATTCAAGCAGGAAACACAATTGTTAAAATATGTTGGTTCCATTAGAAAAAAAAAAGAATGTTTGTTGTTTCATAACATTTTTGTACTTTATTTTTGAAGCGCAGGTACTAGCAGTTGACTTTTCGCATGGGCAGCCAACTTTTCTGTCAGAGAATCTTCGGAAAAATCAACTTGTGGGTGCCTCGTCATCTCTACCATTGCTTACATTTCAAGCCTACTCTCTTGGTTTGGTCAGCATGCAGTTCCTCTTTGAAACATTCTGTGCATAAATTGGCACATTGTCGCATCGCTCTAGAATACAGCCCAAAGTATGCTGTTAATAAATCTATATTGAACAGCATATCTACAGCAACAGCACAGGGAAGTAACTTCTGTAGCAAGATAAGCTCGTTAAAAGAAATGGAAGCAGAAACAATGTTAAGCCAAAATGAGTCAGGATTGGTTGAAGCAGAAACATTGATAAGCCAGAATGAGTCAGGATTGGTGGAAGCAGAAATAGTGATAAATCAGAATAATCCAGGACTGGGGGAAGCAGAAATAGTGATAAATCAGAATAATCCAGAACTGGGGGAAGCAGAAGCATTGGTTAGCCATGATGATACTGGGGTGGTGGGTGGTTTAATAGCAAACACTGAAGAAGAAAATTTCATAAAAAATCCAGAACAGAGCAAGGGAGAAACAGAAAATGATGTGAAACCTTTATCAAAGAAAGCCATGAAACGAGTAAGTATCAAACATTTCTCTGTGTTGTTTAAGAACATTTTTCATACCGCTTACACGGAGCATCATTGACTATCTTTCGTTAACGAAACAAATGTTAAAGAGAATTAGAATCAAGTATCACTTAATGTTTGGAGCAACGTTACAAGAAATAGGGTGTCATGTGAAAAATGTAAATCTCCATTCTTGATCTACTTTCTTTTTGTTTGATTATGAATTTTCTTCTTCAGCATTCTGAGCTCTTGAAGTTCATTGCTGCAGATATCACCAACCTCCATTCATCTCTCTTGTTGGCCCTCTTTTTCCAGTTGGTTACACAAAGTGTTTGCAGGTTTGCCTGGATGTTATCTCTCCATTGCTTTGATTATGAATTTATTTTTGTTTAACATTTTAATCTTTCTTCTTTATCCTCCTCAGAGACTTCTCTAAGGAGGATAGAAAAGAAAAGTTTAGCCAGGACCACAAATGTCCAAAGATTATAATACAGTTGATAAACATTGCTTTTCTTTCAATACTTTATTAACATTGTCAGACTTGGTCCCTGTCAGTATCCTAACACAGAACTTGTCACCTTTAAAATGAAGGGCTTGAGGTTCTCCGAAAGGCAGAATGTGAAATCTTCTTTAGCTGATATCTGCTTTGTGTCATTAGGTGTCACAGTTGATGGATTATAGGTAGTTGAACCAGGCTGCACTTGGTTTGCTAAATGTTATGAGGCCTAAAGCTATCAGTGACTCCTTCAATCCATGTTTTTCTAGGTCTCCCTCTGCATCCTTACATTTTAATTTACATGTTGTAAGATGCCACTACTGGTATTATTGAGTTTATTCTGTAAAGGTGGCATACCATTTTGATCTTTGTTTCTTAGTAAGCAGAATGTGAAATGGCCACATAAAATATGTAAGGGGTGCATCATGCATCCCCTCTTATCAACAGAAATGGAATGGTTAACCTGCTGACAAAAGCTTGAACCAAAACCTGTATTGATGAACTTCCAGAGGAAGACCCAAGAAAATATTGGATTGACAACCCTAACTAAACAAACGTGAATGCTACAACCAGGGCAAGATAGTTAGTTTTGGAATACATACTTAGGCTTCCTCTAACCATACACTTGAATGACAAGTGTGGAATAGGGAACACAGACATCTACCTTGAACTTGACAATAGATCTGAGAGCTGAGCTCTCCTTAGTGAAAATGAAATGAACACATGACCCCCAGACTGGTAGGCTGCTATGTTAGTCCCTGCCGTGAAGCATCTACCCCACATATAAAGCTAGTTATGTATCCTTTATAAGATGTTGCAGAACCAACTCTAGCAATTTTTGGCTGTTGTGGTTTCTCTAGGCAAATTTTACATTCAGTAGTTTGCCATTGCTTTCACATTGTGTTATCGTTGAGAACATAGTGGACAGCTGGACTGACAGCCCATGTAACATATAATGGCACAACAGGGTAATGATGATGATGTGCTAACTGTGGTAAACTTTGACATTAACAAACACAGAAAAATAAAAATTGTAATAACAGAAATGAAATATCAACAGTGAATCTTGATTGGAACAAGAAAAGAGATCAGAAATGAGGAAACAAGTAGGGATGGAACCAGTGCTCGGCTACATTTAGAGTTAACAGATCAACTGGCTCAGACGTGTGTCGAGACTGCCACAGGATAGTGCAGAACAGAGAGCCCTGTCACAGACAATGAAAGCAGAACTAAAACGTTGCTTATGCATGCAGTGGATAGATGGAATATCTGGAGTTGTGAACTTCCAGTATCCACGCAGAGCACACCAAAGCTTGCACCAGATGCCTTTTCAAAACTTTATGCTGAAAGGCAGAACAGTGGTCAGAGAAACTAAAGAACTCGCCTTTCTCAGTGTAATAATGAATGTGATTGGTGCTGTTCTCAGACCTTGTCTTGTACTCTCCTATGTGATTGGTGCTGTTCTCAGATCTTGTCGTGTACTCTCCAATGTGATTGGTGCTGTTCTCAGATCTTGTCTTTTACTCTCCTATGTGATTGGTGCTGTTCTCAGACCTTGTCTTGTACTCTTCTATGTGATTTGTGCTGTTCTCAGACCTTGTCTTGTACTTTCCTATGTGATTGTTGCTGTTCTCAGACCTTGTCTGGTACTCTCCTATGTGATTGGTGCTGTTCTCATATCTTGTCTGGTACTCTCCTATGTGATTGGTGCTGTTCTCAGATCTTGTCGTGTACTCTCCAATGTGATTGGTGCTGTTCTCAGATCTTGTCTTTTACTCTTCTATGTGATTGATGCTGTTCTCAGACCTTGTCTTGTACTCTCCTATGTGATTGGTGCTGTTCTCAGACCTTGTCTTGTACTCTGTATGTGATTGGTGCTGTTCTCAGACCTTGTCTTGTACTCTCCTATGTGATTGGTGCTGTTCTCAGACCTTGTCTTGTACTCTTCTCTGTGATTGGTGCTGTTCTCAGACCTTGTCTTGTACTCTTCTCTGTGATTGGTGCTGTTCTCATATCTTGTCTTGTACTCTTCTCTGTGATTGGTGCTGTTCTCATATCTTGTCTTGTACTCTTCTCTGTGATTGGTGCTGTTCTTAGATCTTGTCTTGTACTCTCCTCTGTGATTGGTGCTATTCTCAGATCTTGTCTTGCACTCTCCTGTGTGATTGGTGCTGTTCTCAGATCTTGTCGTGTACTCTCCTATGTGATTGGTGCTATTCTCAGATCTTGTCTTGCACTCTCCTGTGTGATTGGTGCTGTTCTTAGATCTTGTCTTGTACTCTCATATTTGATTGGTGCTGTTCTCATATCTTGTCTTGTACTCTTCTCTGTGATTGGTGCTGTTCTTAGATCTTGTCTTGTACTCTCCTCTGTGATTGGTGCTATTCTCAGATCTTGTCTTGCACTCTCCTCTGTGATTGGTGCTGTTCTTAGATCTTGACTTGTACTCTCCTCTGTGATTGGTGCTGTTCTTAGATCTTGTCTTGTACTCTCCTCTGTGATTGGTGCTATTCTCAGATCTTGTCTTGTACTCTCCTCTGTGATTGGTGCTGTTCTCAGATCTTGTCTTGTACTCTCCTCTGTGATTGGTGCTGTTCTCAGATCTTGTCTTGCACTCTCCTGTGTGATTGGTGCTGTTCTTAGATCTTGTCTTGTACTCTCCTCTGTGATTGGTGCTATTCTCAGATCCTGTCTTGTACTCTCCTCTCACAGCTGGCCCGTACAGAAAAGCACAAAGAGTATAAAAAACGAAAACGAGAAGAAAGCCTTCAGACAATACAGAGAGCTGATGTCGGCTACAGCCTAGAGGATCTGGATAAATCCTCCTATTACTTTGAGAATGGTAAGAGAATCTGGATAGTTTCTATGTTACAGGGTCTCCTCGACTTACGAGAAAGTTTGGTCCTAACAGGTCAAGAGTCAGATTTATGCATAATTTTTTTTTAACAAAGTCTAGTTTCAGAATGGAGGTGGAAGCAGTCACTGCTGCCTTTCGCTGGCTTGAGAATCAGCTGTACACACAAGCTGTTATTGGACTCAGAGAGTATGTTGAGACAGGCATACTCCGTGCAGAGTGGGAAGCATCCCGGGTAGTTACTGTCCTTTGGATTTTTTCCTCCAGGTCATGCCGGTGTGTGGGGGAATGAGCAGACAGATAGACTGGCTGGCTCTGCACTGCTTGGTGGTGAACATGCTGGATGTTGTGAGGGCTGTTTGAGAGCGAGTGAACAGTGCCGAGGCACAGATAGGTCATTACTGTCTAGGAAAAACACAACTGCGAAGAATTACACGGGGATCTGGCCAGCGCTCAACACTCCGGGAAAGGCGAGACGGATATACAATCAGACAGTTACTGGTGCCATCAGAAATGGAACTTTTCGCTTGCTGTTGAAGATGGGGATGGAGCGCTTATGGGAGTATCCAGAGTGCTGTGATATCGATTCTTAATTTAACATTCAGAACATAATTTCATTATTGTCATTCAGACGAGTTATACAATTATTTTTTTTACATAAAACTTACAGATTCAGTATATGTACGTATAATTATTGTACATAGTGTGAAAACTACACTTGTGCTCAGTTCTGGTAGCTTTTTGACCCTACCAGTGTGGTTATCTTTCTTTATTCCCTATATTTATTTATTTTTGGTGATTGTAAGTGTGAATGGTTGTAAGTGTGAATGGTTGTAAGTGTGAATGCTTGTTAAGTGTGAATGGTTGTTAAGTGTGAATGGTTGTTAAGTGTGAATATTTGTAAGTGTGAATGGTTGTTAAGTGTGAATATTTGTAAGTGTGAATGGTTGTTAAGTGTGAATATTTGTAAGTGTGAATGGTTGTTAAGTGTGAATGGTTGTTAAGTGTGAATGGTTGTTAAGTGTGAATATTTGTAAGTGTGAATGGTTGTTAAGTGTGAATATTTGTAAGTGTGAATGGTTGTTAAGTGTGAATATTTGTAAGTGTGAATGCTTGTTAAGTGTGAATGCTTGTTAAGTGTGAATGCTTGTTAAGTGTGAATGCTTGTTAAGTGTGAATGGTTGTTAAGTGTGAATGGTTGTTAAGTGTGAATGGTTGTTAAGTGTGAATATTTGCAAGTGTGAATATTTGCAAGTGTGAATATTTGTAAAGTGTAAATATTAGTAAAGTGTAAATATTTGTAAGTGTGAATGGTTGTAAGTGTGAATGCTTGTTAAGTGTGAATGGCTGTAAAGTGTGAATGGTTGTAAGTGTGAATGCTTGTTAAGTGTGAATGGCTGTAAAGTGTGAATGGTTGTTAAGTGTGAATGGTTGTTAAGTGTGAATATTTGCAAGTGTGAATATTTGCAAGTGTGAATATTTGTAAAGTGTGAATATTTGTAAAGTGTAAATATTAGTAAAGTGTAAATATTTGTAAGTGTGAATGGTTGTAAGTGTGAATGCTTGTTAAGTGTGAATGGCTGTAAAGTGTGAATGGTTGTAAGTGTGAATGCTTGTTAAGTGTGAATGGCTGTAAAGTGTGAATGGTTGTAAGTGTGAATGGCTGTTAAGTGTAAAAGTCAAGGAGAAAGTGTCTTGAGAAAACTGGAAGAGAATTTAATTTAGTCATGTATTACTTTGAGAATGGTCAGATGGTCATGATACATTATTGTATTTTTTGGAGAATATAAGAGAATCTGGCTAAATTAGCTTATTATTTTGAGAATATTACTGTGATCTTGATAAGTCACAAAAAAGAAAGTGGGCAGACATTTGTGAATTTACTTTAATAGTTTAATACTTGCGAGTGTCTTGAGAGTACTGGACTCTCACTCAGTCACTGGGGAAAAAGATTGGAGCTTTTGAATTTAAATGTTATAGAAAAATTCTTAGAATACCATGGATCAGGAAGAGAAAAAACATCGTCATATTGAGTGGGTTGAACATCAAGGGAGAACTGGCTCATTAACAGCATCCTGTCCCGAAAGTTGAAGTATTTTGACCACATCAAGCGTCATGGTGGCTTGGAAAAGACGGTGATGGAAGGTGCAGTTTGTGGAAGGCGAGGCAGGAGTCAACCACAGCAAAGATGAATACAAGACATTGAAGATGCATTGACATTGATAGCACATGGGGCTGGAGAGCTGGCTAGGGAAAGGGATACTTTCATTCGTGCCGTGAAGAGAGCGATGTTCTGTAAAGGACTTGCTGATTGATGATGAGTTTAATACTATAAATTCACAGAAATAATCATTAAAAAAAATGTCTGTTCAAAAGACAAGTATAACTAATCACGATTGGAGAATTTCGGGAGCAGCATGTTCACATCACTGCTAAGAATGTGAGAATTGTGACTAAAGATCGGCACAGCCAAGGATGAGAGAATTGTGACTAAAGATCGGCACAGCCAGGGATGAGAGAAACATGGGATGTACATGAAGTCTTGTTAACAAGCATAATGACTATTAATCCCTTCCCACAATGCTTATCGGCAGAAATGGAAACTCAGGATGATGATGTATATGTTGAAGGGAAGAGTCTGAATACTTATTGATGTTTCTGGAATGCTGTGAAGATTACCCAACTCATAATTCATGACTGAAATTAACCCAACTCATAATTCATGACTGAAGATAACCCAACTCATAGTTCATGACTGGACTCACAGAATCTCTATCCCTGCTTGAGCTCTGGAGTCTGTATGTTCATGTGTGTTGTATGTGTAAGGTACTGGACAGGAAATAACCCTTAAAGGTGTGGTATATAGGTCGGTTCAGAGGTTATGGTCAAGGACAAACAATCAGGACAAAGATAAAGTTTGTTGCCAACACTGCAAATGCTTTGATAAATCATATTCTTAACATTGCTCTCGATATGTCAATAAAGTGTTGCTAATTTGTCAAACAGGCATTCGTAAAGTCTACCCGTATACCTACGTATTTGCCACTCATGCTAAGGGACGATGGGTTGGCCGTAAACTTTGGGATGTTCTGGAGCAAGAGTTTGGTTACAGTCATCCTGATGAACTGGTAAGTGGTATTGTGTTAATACAATCTTCTTATAGTCTGGGGCATTGGTGATTATGTGTGTCCATAAAGTTCTCTTTCGTCTATTGTCAGTCATTTCTAAGATAGATGTTCTTCCTCCCCATGTGGAAGATAGATGTTCTTCCTCCCCGTGTGGGAGATAGATGTTTTTCCTCCCCATTTAGGAGATAGATGTTCTTCCTCCCCGTGTGGGAGATAGATGTTTTTCCTCCCCGTGTGGGAGATAAATGTTCTTCCTCCCCATGTGGGTTCTGGGACCCCATTGTGAGGGAAAACAAGAATAAAACCCGCTGCCTCCTCAACAAGCATGTCCTAGGAGATGACTGGTTGGGCACTTTCTTCAGAGTCACAGTGCATCTGCCCGAGGGGCTGGAACAGCCAGCACACAAGCCAGTAAACAGGTGTACACACAAAACTCAGGCCCTGGCACAAAGACTAAATGGACAGACAACCAGGATTTTCTGCCAGAGCTTACATCTGGTGAACAAAGATGCTAAAGATGTTCTTGCATGCCATGGGGCTAAACTCTCTCTCTTGGTCTCCCCTGAGCTTTCCTGTTTTGCCTTGTTTCATCCCCTGCCCCTTCTCTTGATGTGTCCAGATTCTTCTTCTTTTGTTCGCTTGAAATAGATTATCTATATCTGCAATGTTGCCTCTAGTATGAACCTCACTGTCTATTGTAATTCACTCAGTGACCCATAAAGTAGATTATCTATATCTGCAATGTTGCCTCTAGTATGAACCTCACTGTCTGTTGTAATTCACTCAGTGACCCATAAAGTAGATTATCTATATCTGCAATGTTGCCTCTAGTATGAACCTCACTGTCTGTTGTAATTTACTCAGAGACCCATAAAGTAGATTATCTATATCTGCAATGTTACCTCTAGTATGAACCTCACTGTCTGTTGTAATTCAATCAGTGACCCATAAAGTAGATTATCTATATCTGCAATGTTGCCTCTAGGATGAACCTCACTGTCTGTTGTAATTCAATCAGTGACCCATAAAGTAGATTATCTATATCTGCAATGTTGCCTCTAGTATGAACCTCACTGTCTGTTGTAATTCACTCAGTGACCCAGAAAGTAGATTATCTATATCTGCAATGTTGCCTCTAGTATGAACCTCACTGTCTGTTGTAATTCAATCAGTGACCCATAAAGTAGATTATCTATATCTGCAATGTTGCCTCTAGTATGAACCTTACTGTCTGTTGTAATTCACTCAGTGACCCATAAAGTAGATTATCTATATCTGCAATGTTGCCTCTAGTATGAACCTCACTGTCTGTTGTAATTCAATCAGTGACCCATAAAGTAGATTATCTATATCTGCAATGTTGCCTCTAGTATGAACCTCACTGTCTGTTGTAATTCAATCAGTGACCCAAAAAGTAGATTATCTATATCTGCATTGCTGCCTCTAGTATGAACCTCACTGTCTGTTGTAATTCAATCAGTGACCCATAAAGTAGATTATCTATATCTGCAATGTTGCCTCTAGTATGAACCTCACTGTCTGTTGTAATTCACTCAGTGACCCATAAAATTGATTATCTATATCTGCAATGCTGCCTCTAGTATGAACCTCACTGTCTGTTGTAATTCACTCAGTGACCTATAAAATTGATTATCTATATCTGCAATGTTGCCTCTAGTATGAACCTCACTGTCTGTTGTAATTCACTCAGTGACCCATAAAATTGATTATCTATATCTGCAATGTTGCCTCTAGTATGAACCTCACTGTCTATTGTAATTCAATCAGTGACCCATAAAGTAGATTATCTATATCTGCAATGTTGCCTCTAGTATGAACCTCACTGTCTGTTGTAATTCACTCAGTGACCTATAAAGTAGATTATCTATATCTGCAATGTTGCCTCTAGTATGAACCTCACTGTCTGTTGTAATTCAATCAGTGACCCATAAAGTAGATTATCTATATCTGCAATGTTGCCTCTAGTATGAACCTCACTGTCTGTTGTAATTCAATCAGTGACCCATACAGTTTGGCTTGCACTGGTGCTTAGCCAGAGGTTTTGACTGGATTTGTTGTCTTTGATAAAGTCTGGGAGGATGATATCTGTTGTCCCAAAAAACAATCAATGTGTGTTGATTCACCAACCTTGATTTTTTTGTACATATGTCCAGCTAATGTTGATTGTCTTTGTCCGATAAAGGTAATCTGTTCTCTTTTTGGATCAGTTTCTTTCAGGCAACACTGTTTTTGTTTTCTGTAAGTTAAATGAGCCATAATGGTAATGCTGTATTAATTGCTGTAGGCCATTTTTAATATATTGGTTTGTGGGATGAATTAAAGAGGGGTGAAGAAATAATAGAAATGTCTGAACAACCACAGGAAACAACAATTATAAGATAAAGAAGATAGTGCTGTATAAGACATCCTGAGAAGAAACGAGCAGAGAATTACCAGCCAGGCACTAAAATGGGAAATACATTTATTGAGGGAGTGAGGACATTCAAAAGAAACCCTGAAACAGACGTTGATGAGAGAGGCCAAAGCTGCTGGGTGGAATTTTATCCATGATATCAAAAGATAGAATGGAATGGAGGAATAGTTTGTGAGCCCTGTGTGACATACAGTGACACAACAGGATGGTGAGTATGTTGTGTGTGTAAGTGAAATAATTTGGGAGTAGAATGATACAGATGTCTGTCTCTGTAGCTGAAGTCATTTAAAAATGGAAGTGGACAAATGTCTCTGTTTTGACATGAAATCATTTGAACGTGGAGTGATACTTGTTTTTTTTTTTTAAGATGAAATCATTTGAAAATGTTTTTGACGAAATAATTTGAAAATGGTTTTTAGATTAAATCATTTTAAAATGGTTTTTTAGATGAAATCATTTCAAAGGTAAATTATACAAATGTCTGTCTGTGGATGAAATCATTTGAAAGAAGAAAGCTACAAATATCTTTGTTCTTACATAAAGTCATTTGAACGTGGAATGATACTGTCTTTTTTTTTAGATGAAATCATTTTAAAATGAATAATGCTTATGTCTGTCTGTAGATGAAATCATTTTAAAGTTAAATGATACAAATTGAATGTATTGGTTTATGTATTGGCAGATGAAATCATTTAAAAGTAGACAAAGATATCTTTTATTGGTTGGTTTCTTCGTAGATGAAATCATTTGAAAGTGGAATGATACATGTAAATGGCAACCGGGCCAGCCTGAACTATGTCCTTCGAGACAATGATTATGTATGCCATCGAACTCACAGGTCAGTTCTTAGATAACAGTATAGTTTTGAGGCTTCTTTTTTACTTTCATGTTCTGTTTCTTCTTCTGTTTCATCTTCTGTTTCTTCTTCTTCTTCTGTTTCATCTTCTGTTTCTTCTTCTTCTTCTGTTTCATCTTCTGTTTCATCTTCTTCTTCTGTTTCATCTTCTGTTTCATCTTCATCTTCTGTTTCATCTTCTGTTTATCTTCTGTTTCATCTCCTGTTTCATCTTCTTCTTCTGTTTCATCTTCTGTTTCTTCTTCATCTTCTGTTTCATCTTCTTCTAAACCAAGTGTCTGGTCGGGAGCAGATTTAGTTGATCAAAACTCTCCAATTTTCTCTGTCCTGTGTTATTTGAATTAAAATGTTTCTTCTTATTATTATTATTGTTATTCTTATTGTTTGTTACCCGTCTTTTAAGTTATCATCTGATCCATGTGGAGGTTAGGCGAGTCAACTTTTTTTTTTTAAATCTATGAAATTTTTTGCCTCTGACAATTGTTGGTCTTTGCATTTTCTTCCATATGAAGGCTGAAGGGATATATTTTATCATCCAGAAATTGAGTTAAGTGCATGGCATGACACTGTGAGCAGTGGATTTCATTTTGAATAGGTAGGAGGTAAACACCTGTAAAGGTTGCCAATGTGATGGTGACCACATGCCAACGAGGGCCAATTGGTTTATAAAATGTGGGTCTAGCCCATTGAACTCATCAAATACATGTTACTTTTGTGCATAATACATCAGAACAATTCACTTAGATGCTTGGACATTCACAAACCATCCAGACTGACAGCAGCCAATGACATCCAGGAAGTCAGTTGGGCGAGATAGTCAGGGTTCTCACAGTCAAACTCGGGTTCAAGCGTTCACTAGCAATAAGCTTCGTTCAGTATTCGCTCCGTCATGCACGCCTTTCCAGAGTCGAACAAGACCGGAGCACAAATACAGAAAGTTTAGATATGGACATGAACAATGTGGTTTGTGTTATGAACTTTAGATTCAGAAAAGGGTGAGGGGTCTGTTGCCACAGATCTGGCCATGCCTTACGTGACTACTGATCTGTTGTAACTGTTATTTTCATTGATGATGAACTGCATTTTTAGTGTTGGACTGTTTGTGTTGGCACTTCTGGCTGCTGCCTTAGGCATTTAGTGCATGTATATGCTATAAGTTTGCTGAGACTGCAGTCTGGGCTAGGCACTGTGATGAACATTCTCTGTGGTTTTCGTTGGCACAAGAGTGAGGCAACTGTGGGTTGACCTGTTCGTTATGAAGCTGGAACTGTCATTACATATATAAGTATATGTGTACCCACACACACACTATACACATAAATACACATGGGCACACTGTGAGACAAAATAAGCAAAGAATTACAGGACAAGCACTGCAATGGCAGATAAATGGGCTAGACCCACATTTTATAAACCAATTGGCCCTCGTTGGCATGTGGTCACCATCACACTGGCAACCTTTACAGGAGTTTACCTCCTACCTATTTAAGGCTGGGCCGCCCTGGGAACCACGGTCATTGGGGGGGCTCCTGCTCAGTCAGGGCCTGAACCCACGACCTTTGGATCCGCAGGCGAGTGCTTAGCCGCTACACCATGGTGGCTCCCCTTGACCAAGTACCTTCACTTGTATTTTCAGACATGAAAACCCAGTGACGGCCGCCCCACTGGAGATCATAGAAAACAACAATGATGTTCTTGTGATCAACAAACCGTCCTCCATTCCTTGTCATCCATGTGGTCGCTACCGGTTCAACTCTGTGGCGTTTATACTGGGAAAAGAGATGGGACTGACAAACCTTAGAGGTGTGTATTTGTGCTCCACTCTAGTTGTGCTTCGGTGTATTTGTTCATGTCCGTATCTAAACTTTCTGTATTTGTGCTCCGGTCTTGTTCGACTCTGGAAAGGCGTGGATGACGGAGCGAATACTGAACGAAGCTTATTGCTAGTGAACGCTTGAACCCGAGTTTGACTGTGAGTTTCCCTAGAACCCTGACTATCTCGCCCAACTGACTTCCTGTCAAGCCTGGATGTCATTGGCTGCTGTCAGTCTGGATGGTTTGTGAATGTCCAAGCATCTAAGTGAGTTGTTCTGATGTATTATGCACAAAGGTAACATGTATTTGATGAGTTCAAGTGATGCTGTATCAGTTGGCCTAGCTTAGTTACCCTAGATGTGTATTTTCCTCCACGTGGACAGGCTGACGAGTCAGCCCTGTTTGAATAAATAAGAACATTGATAGCGATCACCAGCGTAGAGTTTGCATCGTCTGTTGTTCAACCAGATAAGTTATAATGTGTCGGTGTATATTTGAGAAGTCTGCAGATGACTAGAGCCAGAGACTGAGACTAAAGAATGTCATTGCAGGGCCAATGTCACATCTAAAAAAACAACTCACCTCTGTGCAGATTTGAACTCCAGACATTTGGACCGGCAGGCGAGTGTGTAACCACTATACTGCCGCTGCTTCCACTTTGTTTGTTTTTTCAATTTTTCTTTATTTGTACTTTGCTGTATTTGTATTTGTGCTTATTTTGAACTTTACCACATGTTTTACTTTGAATTTTTCTCTATTTAAACTGTATTTTGTGTGTGAGTGCGTGTGTGTGACATTGTGGGAAAGTTCCTAAAGTCTTCTTCGCTTTCACCGGCTGTAAACTCCAGCGGAAGGTTCTGGTTGTTCGTCAACTTTTAGACTAGTCCTATTCCAGAAACTAAGTTTTGCATGCACTTCTATTTCACAGATCTGACTCATTTGCCTGCAGACTGTTGGTTCCTTGCCTCTCAGGCAGATGTACTCAGACTTTGAAAAAAGCTCCCAATTAGTTGACTCTTACAACAAGCTTTTGGGTAGGCAGTGGGTCTATTCTTGTTTTCCCCACAATGGGACCCTGTCTGTGGGTCCTGAAGATATATGTGTGTGTGTGTGGCGTGGGAAAATTCCTAGAGTAAGTTGGTGCGAAGAGTATATGTTTGTTGATTCAGTTTCCAGAACATGATGCTGTTCATAACTTGCCAGATTTCAGTATTTTTCATTCATTTCTTGATAGGCATTATTCTGTAAATGGTTTTGTAATATTTAGGTTTATTAAAAGGCTGAACTTATATTTTTGTAATATTTGCAAAAATGGTCCATGATTCACATTCATATGCAGCCACAGGACAGAATTATGACTTTATTGTTTCTGTGTGCCTGTCGTTTTTTTTTTTTTTTCTCTTCACTATTCTGCAGATAAAGGCTAATCTCTTCAATGTCCCTTATTTGCCTGGTGTGATGGGACCTGTAAAAGTGATATATACACTGTGTTTTTCCTCTTTTGTCTGGGCTTGATGATCATGTCTTATAGCTGCAGATCATGGTCACTTTCTTCACAGGCATCTACCGCTTGGACCGGCTGACTTCTGGTGTCCTCATTTTCTGCAAGACCCAGGAGATGACCAAGACACTGATGGGTCAGGTGGCCAGGAGACAAGTCCAGAAGGAATATGTATGTCGAGTCGTGGGCAGGTTCCCAGAGTAAGTGGCTACAGAGAGATTTTGTGGGGAAGGTTCCCGACTAAGTGGATGAATAAAATATATGTTTGAAATTTGTGGAGAGGTTTACAGACTTACTGGATGGTCGCACAGAAAGAAAACATTTGTGAAATTTGGGAGAATTTCCAGAGCAGGGGGGGGGGGGGGGGAGATACATTGAGAATATGTGTGTGACGTTGTGGGAAAGTTCCAAGAGTAAGTGGGTCCTGAAGAAATGTATGTGTGTGCCACTGTAGGAAATTTTCTAGAGTAAGTGGGTCCTGAAGAAATGTATGTGTGTGCCATTGTGGGAAAGTTCCAAGAGTAAGTGGGTCCTGAAGAAATCTGTGTGTGCCACTGTGGGAAAGTTCCTAGAGTAAGTGGGTCCTGAAGAAATGCATGTGTGTGCCATTGTGGGAAAGTTCCAAGAGTAAGTGGGTCCTGAAGAAATCTGTGTGTGCCACTGTGGGAAAGTTCCTAGAGTAAGTGGGTCCTGAAGAAATGTATTTGTGTGCCATTGTGGGAAAGTTCCTAGAGTAAGTGGGTCCTGAGGAAATGTATGTATGTAACACTGTGGGAAAGTTCCAAGAGTAAGTGGGTCTTGAAGAAATGTATGTGTGTGCCACTGTGGGAAAGTTCCTAAAGTAAGTGGGTCTTGAAGAAATGTATGTGTGTGAACTTTCCTAGACAGAATGGGTACAGAGAATATGTGTGTTGATTCAGTTTACAAAATATGATGTTGTTCATAACATGACAAATGTAGTGTTTGTCTTCTATCTCTTGAAACACAGTTTTCATTGAACATTTTTGTAATATTTAGGCCTAAGGCTCACATATTTTTTTGTAATATTTTTTGTAATATTTGCAAAAATCATCAGTTATTCAGATTAATATGTGACCACAGAACAGAGCGTACGATCTAAAAAATATACTTAAGTTTATTTGTCTGTATTCTGAGTGTATGGATTGGCCTGCCACTAAAGACTACACCACAGAGAGCCCCATCACTTAGACATAATGGAAGTAGATCTAGAGGTAGACCATACAAGCGATGGATAGATACAATTTCTTTGGCTGTGAAAACCAGCATCTACACAGCACATACCAAGGCTCAAAACCCATACCTCTTCAAAACCTGACACTAAAAGGCAGAACAGGACTAGAGATAAAGAAGATGTTCTGTACGTCTGAGTGTAATAAATATTAATGTCTGGTATTTTCTACGGAATTCCTTGTTCCTCATGTCTAGTGGAACAGTGAAAGTGGACCAGCCGCTGAAGCCTTTGTCCAACAAGTTGAGGCTCCAGGTTGTCTCCCCTACAGGCAAGTCCAGCCAGACGACATTCACACGCATTAGCTACAACGGCAAATCCAGCGTTGTCCGATGTAAGTATTCTGTTGTTGTCTGATGCAGATCAAGATCAACTGTTTTGCCTGATCAAAATAGTAATGGTTACGCAGACCAAATCTGTCTAGAGCATTGGTTCTCAATTCTCAACCTTCCTAATGCTGTGACCCTTTCATACACTTCCCTCATATTGTGGCGACCCCGAAACAGTTATTTCCCTTTATAACTTTCATGAATATGTGTTTTCAAATGGTCTTAAGCGACCCCTCTGAAAGGGTCATTTGACCCAAAAAGGGTCACGACCGGCAGGTTGAAGGTCACAGGTTTAGAACATCTTTTATATATGCAGTTAGTCATTGCATAGTTAATTTTGCTGAAGAACAATGCTGAAATCAGTGGTGTCGAGGTGAGAATGTGCACTAATGGTCAGGAATTGAAGTTGAAGTCGAGAGGGGTGACTTCATTGTACCGAGTTTTTATCCGATATGGCTCGGTCTCTATCCTAAGAATGGCTAGCTGCCTGCTGAGAGTGCTGCACAGAGCATAAACTCCTTAGCTCTGGCGGCGATTCCTTGGGATCTCCATAAAAATTTGTGAACTGAACGGTGCGAGGCATACTGCTTGACAACTTTGCCATGAAGACCTGGTGACTGTCAGGATGTGGAGGAGTAATAGTCCAGAGGAGAATGCGATTTACAGTTCCTATTGGTCGGGTTAGTTATTTATGATGTTTGCTCAAAGATCAGAGGTCGTTGCTAGGGGGTGGTGTCTTAGTACATAGTTAATGAGCAGCCACAGGATGACAATCACAAACTACTTGTATTCTGAAGATAGCCAGGACGACTCAGAGGTTTATTGTAGACAAAGTTCCCTTCTACAAAATTGCCTTTGTTTTAATACAGACAGTAATGTCTGCTAACTCACAGGTATTATTCTTAATTGTATTCTTTTGAACGAGTCGACTAAACTCCAGCAGAGAGCTCTGTTTGAGCATCTGTATCTGGACTTTGGTCTTGTCCTGGCACTTGAACATCCTTTTTTTTCAGATGGGGCATACGTGCAGACTGTTGGTTCCATAACTCTCAGGCATATGCACTCAACTTTGAAAGGAAGCTTGAGCCTGTCTGCATGGGTGAGGCCGTGGGTAAAGTGACCATTTCTAGGATGATCACATGGAGGTGTAGGTAGAGCTTGAGCCTGTCTGCATTGGTGAGGCCGTGGGTAAAGTGACCATTTCTAGGATGATCACATAGAGGTGTAGGTAGAGCTTGAGCAGTATCAGCGTTGCTCCAGGTGTACCATGCATCTCTAATTTGAACATCATGATGATGATGTTGTGAAGAGAATGTTTGTGTAGTGTGTCTGATAACCTAAACAAAAACAAATAAACTCATGTTGTTTTATACAAAAAGGAATCAAGAGTGAATGTGGAAAAATTGACAACTGTGTGGATTTATTACATCGAGTTCACATAGATTTTGCAAAGTGCATCAACATTTGCATCGTAAATGATGGAATTCATATTGAAGCCGTTATTTAATATTCAGATTGAATAAAATTTGAATAAATTTCATTACTGAAAATATTTTTTTTTGTTCTGTGTGTCTAGACTTTAGTTAAAATCTGTAGCATAAAAAAAATGAAATGTTAATTGTAAAAATTGTTTCTATGTCTTTTTTGTAAGGTGTACCGCACACTGGGAGAACTCATCAAATTCGAGTTCATCTTCAGTATCTCGGCTTTCCAATTCTGAATGATGCTTTTTACAACAGTGATGCTTGGGGACCTAGCCGGGGCAAGGATGGGGTCTATGAGTTGCCGTTTGATCAGGTAATATAAAGGTCTAATGTTGGGTTTGTAGTTACTAGTGCATCCAAGTCCATTTAGTTCTTTAGCAAGGTGCTGTCTTTTAGAGGCCAGGAGTTTAATCTTAACTTGCCTGTAGCTTCTAATCTTTATATTGTCTAGTGTTTCTCAATAATTAACATTGATTAAACATTTCACATTCTATCAGTTAACATCCTGAATTATCAGTCAGCACCCATGAACAGATTCACATTCTCTCAGTCAACATCCATAAGGAAATTGATTCACATTGCATCAGTCAAAATCCATGAGAAAATTCACATTCCAACAGTCATCATCCATGAACACATTTGCATTCCATCAGTCAACATCCACGAATACATTTGCATTCCATCAGTCAACATCCACAAATACATTTGCATTCCATCAGTCAACATCCACGAATACATTTGCATTCTGTCAGTCAACTTCCATGAACAAAGTCACATTCTATCAGTATGTTCTATGTTCATATGTTTATTCTTAGTAATTGATATAATGAAATATTTCAGGTCTGTGAACGAATTTTGTCGGAGCATCATGAAACTTTGTGGGTTGGGGGAGACAACCCTTTGTATGAAGCGAAGCTAAGGGAAATGGAGCTAAAGGAGCAGAAAAACAGTCTGATTGTTAACCCCAACCAGCATACAGCTAACTCTTTACCTGCTGAGCCATCAAACTTGTCCAATACCAACTGTGTTGTCGTTGGCAGCAGTGTTACCAGTGACGATTTACCGATGGTCAGTGAGAAAAAACGCATCTTTAAGACTTCTGGGGCAGATATTTTGTCACATGATGGAGTAAACGCTTCTGACTGTTTGAGTCAGTCTGTTGATGGGGCAACAAATTCACATCCCTCACAAACTGCGCTCTTTCAGAAGAAAGATTCTCAGATCTCTGACCAGTCAGTTCATGAAAACCAGCGTCTGCCAGGGTTTGAGATGTCCAAGTTGAGCATTGATCTAGCTTGTGATCAGTGCAAGAAATCTCTGATTGACCCCCAGGAGAAGCAGCTTGTGATGTTCCTTCATGCTCTCCGATATCAGGTGAGGATTTTTTTTTTAAGCTTCCTTCATGCTTTCCGATATAAAGTGAGGATTTTCTTCTTGTGAGTTCCTTCATGCATTCTAGTCATTATCAAATGCCTTTTAACCTTTGGATTGAATAAGTTACAATAGAGTGTGTAAAGAATGTGGATGAAACACAACTAACCTGAGCTTAACTCCAGTCAGTCTGTCTTACCTGAGCCTAACCCCAGCCAGTCTGTCTTACCTGAGCCTAACCCCAGCCAGTCTGTCTTATCTAAGCCTAACCCTAGCCAGTCTGTCTTACCTGAGCCTAACCCCAGCCAGTCTGTCTTACCTGAGCCTAACCCCAGCCAGTCTGTCTTACCTGAGCCTAACCCCAGCCAGTCTGTAATTATGTGTTGTGCTGCATCCTAGTTGTTAGTCATTGTTTATGTTTAGCAACAAACTTAATTGAGAGTGTTTAGCAACAAATATCATTGAGAGTGTTTAGCAACAAATATCATTGAGAGTGTTTAGCACCAAACATCATTGAGAGTGTTTAGCAACAAACATCATTGAGAGTGTTTAGCAACAAACATCATTGAGAGTGTTTAGCAACAAACATCATTGAGAGTGTTTAGCAACAAACATCATTGAGAGTGTTTAGCAACAAACATTATTGAGAGTGTTTAGCAACAAACATCATCGAGAGTGTTTAGCAACAAACATCATTGAGAGTGTTTAGCAACAAACATTATTGAGAGTGTTTAGCAACAAACATCATCGAGAGTGTTTAGCAACAAACATCATTGAGAGTGTTTAGCAACAAACATCATTGACAGTGTTTAGCAACAAACATCATTGAGAGTGTTTAGCAACAAACATTATTGAGAGTGTTTAGCAACAAACATCATTGAGAGTGTTTAGCAACAACCATTATTGAGAGTGTTTAGCAACAAACATCATCGAGAGTGTTTAGCAACAAACATCATTGAGAGTGTTTAGCAACAAACATTATTGAGAGTGTTTAGCAACAAACATCATCGAGAGTGTTTAGCAACAAACATCATCGAGAGTGTTTAGCAACAAACATTATTGAGAGTGTTTAGCAACAAACATCATTGAGAGTGTTTAGCAACAAACATCATCGAGAGTGTTTAGCAACAAACATTATTGAGAGTGTTTAGCAACAAACATTATTGAGAGTGTTTAGCAACAAACATCATCGAGAGTGTTTAGCAACAAACATCATTGAGAGTGTTTAGCAACAAACATCATTGAGAGTGTTTAGCAACAAACATCATTGAGAGTGTTTAGCAACAAACATTGAGTGTTTAGCAACAAACATCATTGAGAGTGTTTAGCAACAAACATTATTGAGAGTGTTTAGCAACAAACATCATTGAGAGTGTTTAGCAACAAACATTATTGAGAGTGTTTAGCAACAAACATCATCGAGAGTGTTTAGCAACAAACATCATTGAGAGTGTTTAGCAACAAACATCATTGAGAGTGTTTAGCAACAAACATCATTGAGAGTGTTTAGCAACAAACATCATTGAGAGTGTTTAGCAACAAACATTATTGAGAGTGTTTAGCAACAAACTTAATTGAGAGTGTTTAGCAACAAACATCATTGAGAGTGTTTAGCAACAAACATCATTGAGAGTGTTTAGCAACAAACATCATTGAGAGTGTTTAGCAACAAACATTATTGAGAGTGTTTAGCAACAAACATCATTGAGAGTGTTTAGCAACAAACATTATCGAGAGTGTTTAGCAACAAACATTATCGAGAGTGTTTAGCAACAAACATCATCGAGAGTGTTTAGCAACAAACATTATTGAGAGTGTTTAGCAACAAACTTAATTGAGAGTGTTTAGCAACAAACATCATTGAGAGTGTTTAGCAACAAACATCATTGAGAGTGTTTAGCAACAAACATTATTGAGAGTGTTTAGCAACAAACATCATTGAGAGTGTTTAGCAACAAACATCATTGAGAGTGTATAGCAACAAACATTGAGAGTTTAGCAACAAACATCATTGAGAGTGTTTAGCAACAAACATCATTGAGAGTGTTTAGCAACAAACATCATTGAGAGTGTTTAGCAACAAACATCATTGAGAGTGTTTAGCAACAAACATTATTGAGAGTGTTTAGCAACAAACATTGAGTGTTTAGCAACAAACATCATTGAGAGTGTTTAGCAACAAACATCATTGAGAGTGTTTAGCAACAAACATCATTGAGAGTGTTTAGCAACAAACATTATTGAGAGTGTTTAGCAACAAACATCATTGAGAGTGTTTAGCAACAAACATCATTGAGAGTGTTTAGCAACAAACATCATTGAGAGTGTTTAGCAACAAACGTTATTGAGAGTGTTTAGCAACAAACTTAATTGAGAGTGTTTAGCAACAAACATCATTGAGAGTGTTTAGCAACAAACATTATTGAGAGTGTTTAGCAACAAACATCATTGAGAGTGTTTAGCAACAAACATCATCGAGAGTGTTTAGCAACAAACATTATTGAGAGACCCAAATGCAAGATTAATTTCAGGGCTTCCCTCAGTCCAGCTCTTGATGTTGCTCAAACACAAATAGCATTGTCTTCTTCTTGTTACTAGTTTCCTCACCTCTAATTTGTCCAAGCCTTAATGATTTTCCAAGAACCAACTGCACGCACATGTTGTGATTGTCACAGAGCATGTTGAGAACGATGGAGACAGGTATGCTGCTTGCATAATTGCAAGCATCATTTCACAGATCCCGGGTATTGAGTGTCATCCTTTGGTTATTCTCAAGGGCTTGTATGTGTATTGGGAAATAAACAGGCAGATGGGCTGGCTGTTTCTTCACCACTTGGTGCTCAATTGATACACGAAAAGCTAGATGTGGTTGAGTCCTTTGTGAACAGTGTGGAGGCACAAATAGATCAGCATGGTCTGAAGAGAATGGTGGAGTGAAGAGACCAGGGAATCTGTCCGATACTCAGCACTCAGGATAAAGTGCAATGGACATACAATCAGACTGCTGCTGGTATCATGGAACAGGAGCTCTGAGCTGGCTGCTGAAGATGGAGACAGAACTTATGGAAATGTCAGTTCTATTATGCCGGTTCTTAACTCCAAGAAATGCGCCAGGGGAATAATAAGCGCAGTGAAAAAGAATTTTACATTCAGGGTGGCAACAATAATGTGCAATATATCAACATGTCTGGTTAAATGTCTTTCAGTCTCTGACCATGTGTAAAAGATATAATTAAAAAGATATATAATTACACACTTTGTGGTGTTTGAAAAACACAGGCAGTGGTGTGTTTCCTGTTGCAGAAATAACAGTAAGCTGTGTCTTGGCTACGTGGCCTAGTTACCGTAGTTTTCATAAGCAGACGTCTTCTTCTCCAAACCAGTTTAAAAAGTGCAGGTTGCCAGTTAGGACCAACTGTTTCAGTTGCCTGCCCTGTGCACTGGACTGCTGGCTGCATTACTTAGTGCTAGAACAGGCTGATGATGATTGATCTTTGGGCTTGTTTACGCCAGTGATATCGTGGTTAGTGTTTGTTGGGTACTTAATTTGTAACTTACCCCTGACGTCATGACAACGTCACGGGAGACATTCCCAATAAATTCTAGGGTGTTCAGGTTGTAGTTTCTCGCGATTTCTCTACAGACAAGTTTAGGGTTAGGATTATAAGACATTAGATGAACACTCACAAAAAGCACCACACAACAGCACACTTGCACCCCTTGAAATAATGGACTGTCAGGTCAGCTGTGGATTTCCCACGGGGATTTTGTGTTTGGGGTACGTTATAAATTAAGAACCGTTTGTTGTTCCAGGGCCCTGGCTGGGAATATGAAACTACCTTGCCAGATTGGGCTTTGGAAGACTGGAGCAGAGAGGAGGATTTTCTGCTTGGGAGTCCTGTTTCAAGTCATCATGACTGATTGATCTGTATGGTGTTGGGAGTTGTGACCATATAGAGTCATCGTGATTGGTTGATCTGTGTGTGTTGTTGGAAGTCATGACTGTATCAGGTCATAACTGATTGTGCATTTGGGAGCCCTGACTGTCGAATAATCATGACTGATTATTCTGTGTGTTGTTGGAAATCATGACTGATTATTCTGTATGTTGTTGGAAATCATGACTGATTATTCTGTATGTTGTTGGAAATCATGACTGATTATTCTGTGTGTTGTTGGAAATCATGACTGATTATTCTGTGTGTTGTTGGAAATCATGACTGATTATTCTGTATGTTGTTGGAAATCATGACTGATTATTCTGTATGTTGTTGGATATCATGACTGATTATTCTGTATGTTGTTGGATATCATGACTGATTATTCTGTATGTTGTTGGATATCATGACTGATTATTCTGTATGTTGTTGGATATCATGACTGATTATTCTGTGTGTTGTTGGATATCATGACTGATTATTCTGTATGTTGTTGGAAATCATGACTGATTATTCTGTATGTTGTTGGAAATCATGACTGATTATTCTGTATGTTGTTGGAAATCATGACTGATTATTCTGTATGTTGTTGGAAATCATGACTGATTATTCTGTATGTTGTTGGAAATCATGACTGATTATTGATCTTTGTTTTTGAAGTTGTGAATATATAAAGTCTGTGTGTATTGGAAATCTGACTGATTGTTCTGCATGTTGTTGGAAATCATGATTGACTTTCAGTCAGTAGTCCGGACTTATCTTTATGACTGATTGATGTGTAATGGTATTAAAGCTAGGGTGGTGTAGTTAAGTTAGTACTAAATATCTTTCTATTGTATAGTCGTTACCATTTTCAACCTTTTGTTTCTACAACTAAAACAGACAACTGGGACTTCTGAACTGATATGCTATAGAAATAAATCTTTGAATAACACGATTTGGAATCAAGAATGTGAAACTTGTAGAACCATCTACATGATATTGATAGACAGACAGATGGATGGTTGGATAGATAGAAAGAGAGACAGACAGACGGACGGATAGATAGATCGCTAGTTTTTGTGTTTTAAAAAATATTTGTGGATCTTGTTCGTTTTCATGTCCATTTATTATTTTATTTTTTTTTAATTATGTATATTAAATAAATAATTAAGCAATTTATGAAATGGTGACTTGAAATTTAGTACAGAAAATCACACAGGACTGCTAATTTGGGCAACACATGAAAACAAAACAAAAAATTGAAATAAAAATCAGATACAGTTCATATCTGGTTTATTCCATTTATTGGCCAGGTACTGTTTGTGAACTGTGTAAATGATCTGCTATGTGTGGTTTTAAGCATGGCTGCAAAATACATACATCATATTTTAGTGTTTGTCATAACCTGCTTATTGGGAAGCACTGGCAGGGTAGTGACTAGCAAATGTTTCTGCCAGCATGGATGGTAATCCTGAGTTCGAATCACTTTCATCTGTTATTATGTTTAAATTCACAGGTCCGCCCATCCTGAAAAAAAATTGGGTCCCAGAAAATCTGGAAAGGGTATTGACTACATTAGCCTTGAGAGTGCCAGCCTAAAAATATCTAGGGTTGGCACCATATACCCAAGAACTTCACGGCAGGAGGACGGGATCCTTGAACTGTGACCTAAGGTTTATTTGGTGTGTCACTCAACCCCACCAGGTATGAGCGACCAACATCCGGTGTGACACAAAGTGTCACTATTCGGATGAGCATCACTCGGACACAAGTCCCAGAAACCCCCATTCAACCGTTAGCTTATACTAGGGCCTCCGACTACAGCCAGCTTTAAAGTAACTAAAATATTGCGTCCCACATCGGGACGAGTATCAGTATGTTTGTTTGGGGCATGAAAGTCTTGACAGTAAATTCTTTAAAACACATGTACACACAAAAAGTGTAAATATTCTAAAGGTAGAATTGTGCATAAAGATCTCAGAATTATTCATGGTCTTCTATGTGTTGATGTAATTATGTTGCTTGCTAAACGTCCTCCCCCCCCCCCCCCCCCCCACCTTTCCCCACCACAGCAAATTTACAGTGATACGTAGGAACATATCACTGGAAATTCATTGAAGCCAAAGATACACCATGATAAACCTACTGACAGACAGTCGCAGCTTGAGCTTCGCAGTAAAGGGGTTATCCTATAATTGTTGTGTTCTTGTGCCAGCAAAAACCAAACAGAATGCCTTTCGCTTTCCATTGTGATATAAAGGCAGACTGCAGTCTCAGAAAAGCCAGTAGCATACACAAGCATTAAATGCATAAAGCAGCTGTCAGAAGTGCCAACACAAACAAACTGACGCTCATAGTGGAGAGAAGTCTAGATCGAAGGATACACTAGAGAGCATAAAAATATAAATCTGTGGATACTGCACCGCGAATCAATTTTTATGTCTAGTGCCTCCTCCTTTCTTTCTCTATTTGTTGACAAGTTCGAAGGTAACCAGTCAGTGATTTGGATATTAACGGCTTTGTTTTCTAGAGAAAAGTTGCCGGTACCAATCACAACATTTTTTAAAGACTATTTGCCGGTACTGCCCACACAGTGTCTATTACAGTAGTGCCGCAAAAAAAAATTGGTGTCAGTACTGAGTACCATTTCAAACCACCAGAAAAAGCATTGGATGTTAAATAATTTCACAACCTTCGAACTATCAGGGTTTGGTTCGCACAGTCGACATACTATTTTTCTAGAAATGGACCATTTCAGTCAGCGGTATGAGAGTGATTCTGTGGAAGAGATTGTGAATCTACCACTTGAGATTCACAGACAGAACTGAGTACACTGGCCAACCTCAACTAGGGAGATGGCACACAGTTTTTATGGCGACCATAGCTTTAGATTTTTATGTTGTCTATTGTGTACACCTTGTCAGCTTCTTTTCTGTGCATCTATTAGTACCAGGCAGTTAGGTTATCATACTGTTGATGAGAGTTTTTCTTTATGAAACCCAACCATCGAGCACTATGTTCTCTTACATTTCACATTTGGTCACAATATACTAAAAAATCTGGCTTCTAGTTTGCGACTTCTACTGTGCATCAGCTGGAAGATGTATCACAGGTTCTTAAAAAAAAAAATAATATAATGGGATGAGGGAAAAACTGCATGCAGTACATTAAAAAAAGTGTTTAGTGAACAATTTTCATAATCATGAACATACCAGGGTCTGATTACTGGCAGATTTAGTCTGACCTTTGAACTATGGTACAAGAGCTGCACAATGGAATGGAACCTCCTCACATAATATTCCCCAAAACAGCACTAGGTGCATATACCCACTGCGATCAATCATGGTTGTGGAAACGACACTACAAATAAATAAGAAGAATAACATTAAAGGCAATCAACTGGTTATATTGAATCAGTCTGATCATGGGCAGTTTGTAAACAAGCAAGCCATTCTTAAATCATAACAGTTAAGTAAAGTAAAGTAAAGATCCCTTATTACACCTAAGGCGCATTGGGCATATGGGCAGAGCGTCCCATATTTTTACAGACCAATCGGCACTCGGTGGGTAATGTGGTCAGCATTACGCCGGCCGTCTTTACTTTCCCAGGACAGCCATCCTGGTACCCATTTGAGGCTGGGTTGACCTGCGACGTCCCATACCACGATAAAAATCCACGCAGCTCGCAGTGGGTTTCGATCGCGGTACGTTGGATTATGAGTCGGACTCGCAATGCCTTAGCCACGGACGCCACAATCATCACAGCTGCCAGCCTCAACAGCCCCTGGCTGTTGTGTGGTTTCTCTAGGCAATTTACGTCCAGTAGTTTGCCATTCCATTCCAGTATGCATGAAGATGTGAAGAAAAAAGGTCCTTTTACCAGATGTGGTTTCACAGAAAAATCTGCAACTTCCCTGGACCGCCAGAATGAGCAATCTGAATGAACATTTTGTGACAGCTCAAGGATTTTTGGAAAGAAAGGCAGCAGAAGACAGTGTAAGAACAATCTTAAAATCCCCCTCCTGCCTCGTTTGAATTGAATAGATCGGATATAAACTTATGCACGGATTTGTACACAGTTAATCCTCTACACATTCAATTAACATGGTCCATTTATAAACTTTTATCAATACTCAAAATACTATAATGCAACCAAAATCTGTCTGAATTGACATTCCACATACAAACATGTAACCGTAACACAACAAGATCGATGTTTTGCTTTTCGGTTTCTGTGATGTGTACAGAAACCAGAACAGCTAACTACGACAGACTTTTCATCCTGTTACAATATCTCAGTTGAAAATATTTGCTGTAATAAAATGTCCATATCAACTTTCACCTGGCTGTCTGGGGAACCCTGACCTGAAATGAGTTGTATGAAATATTTCACCATCTACATGCAAGTTTTTAGCTACCTGTCATTGTTTTCAGTCCGTTTTTTTATTTTTTGTAATTTTTTTATAAGCTTTTATTAAGTTCACTTTTGTTTTACAGTAAATGTTTTGCAGGATCTGTGCCCATGGCAGAATTTTTTCAACTGACCTAGGCTCCCTGCCTATAAAGGGTATCAGCAGATGTTGCTGGTGCGATGATGTTCATCCCACTCGTCGAGTGCCGATTTGTCTATAAAATATAGGTGTGGCACCATATGCCTGATAGGCTATTGGCATGAAAATAATTCTTGTTTTAAAAATATTTTCTTGTATTTTTTTTTTTTTTTAAATTAACAGGACAAACAAAAATCAGAAAACTGCTATACCCACAAAATTGTAATTATAAAATGGCAAGGACATGATAAATGTTTACAGCTATTCTAAAATCCAGGGACTGGGGGTACTCTCAATAAAATCCAAAAAAAACTTTCTTTTAAATGTGTGCTGCCTCTGCAACGGGGAGCTGACAGCAGTGTATTCACTTGCAACTATGGTAATAATATTTAGTGAGGTCCCTCTCTTGTCCAGGTGTTTTCTCACACCACCATCTTAAATCCCACGAGAA